CCAGCTCCCCCCTCGAATGTAGCGTTTCAATTGAAAGGATTTACATTCTGTTGTTGTGCTCTCAACATTTTTGTTCTACAGCTAAGGTCTCCGAAAGACAAGTCATAATTGTGCGGTCTGCAGTTTCTGTTTCTGTCTTTGCTTCAGTTTGGATTTGTATTTGTACTTGGATTTGGATCTGGGCCTGGCTTGGGTGGCCGTAATCCCCAGGAGACGCCCCAAACGGAGGGGTTGTCAACGAGTTGTCGTCGGCTTTATTGTGCGGGTGCGAATATTAAGAAAGTAATTGGGCAGCTGAGTGATGCTCTAAGTGCTCACCCGTTTCTCCAGACGGCGTGGGCTACTAACCATCTGGAATCACGAAAATGAGAGTAAACTGCTCAAATTATGTTCAAGGTACGTTTGAATTTTGGTGTTTCTTTTGAGGCAATCTATATAATATTTTCCTGGTTACAGTTGTCGTTTTTACTGCTTGGCAAAATACGTTCCTTACTGCATTTAAAGCAGACTTGAAAGCGAGTGCAATCCATCCTAAAATCGATGTCGATTGCATTCGGCAAACTGCAGAGAGCGACTGAACAATCCAGTCCGTTCAGGCCGCCATTCACACTTAATTTTCGAGTGATTCGGCGATGATTAAAATCCGTTTTCGACAGCTTCCACGCCCCGGTGGCCATTAATTTGGTTCAGCTCGCCCGGATTCATCTGAACTCGACTCGAAAATGTAGCTCCGGGCCGCTCGACTGATTCGCTCATTTATGCAGCTGCTTGTCTAATGGCGTTTTAATTGTCTCATGCGAGTTTACCAGTTTGCCAGTTCGCCATCGCCATCATCGGCATGCGCCACCTAGCGGCGGCAACGCTCAACTGTGCAACTGTGCAGCCCCAAAAGTTCCGCCCACAAGTTCGCAACCGAAGTTTTTATTTCGAAAATAAACTCATTTTAAATACTTTTGCCAACAATTTGCCATAATTTGGCTCATTTCCTACAACACACGATGCTGCCAGCTTTGTCACCAGTGGCGGGGCTTCGGTGGGTTAAGGGGGGCCAAGGGGGTTGAGGGGGTTGCGGGCGACTGCCGCAAACTTTTGCGTGTGCTGCGCCGGGGGGCGTAGCAGCAGCCCCACCCCTCCTGCACACTCCACTCCCCGCGCCGCCTGCACATTTTGGCATTGTGTGTTAAGTTCTTAAGCGCTGCCAAAAACTTGGGCCTGTGCAGGCAACCCCAAGGCGGCCGAGGGAGCCGAAGCAGCCGAAGCAGCCGGAGCAGCCACTCCCCCCGAAAGTGTCACGCCCCGCGTCCCGTGGCACACGAAATAGTTAAGATCCGACAGTCGCTGCTGGGGCAGAGCCGACTGGAGAGGACCCTCTACTCCGAGGCCACAGGCTTAAAATATAAGCGAGCCGGGGATAAATGTGCTCTTTAAGTTGGCCAACTATTATACGTGTTCCTCCCATAACAGTTTTCAATTAGTGCAAGCTCCGCTTCCCCGAGAGTTTGTCTGTCACAAACAACTCTGGAGCACCCAATAAAGCGGCATTTACTATTTGCGCTATTTACTATTCACTGTTCAGGTGAACTTGAATCTAATTTTGTTGCAGCGTACTCCAGGGTATCGGCCACAAAAAGTGCCGCCTATGCAGTTATAACAAGGTGGGTGGTTGGGTGGTTGGGTGGCTGGGTGGCGCAGTTGCTACTTTATTACAGGGTAAAGCCGAGTTCGGCGGAAAGGAAGGAAGAGACAACTCATTCTTGTCTGAGGCCCCATCGTTTTTTGGCCTGTTTGCATAATTTTCCAAAGGGAAGCAACAATTGGGGGAGGCAGAGGTGGCAGAGGAGGTTCGCCAGATCCTAGTTGCTTGTGCACAGCGAGAAAAGTTACCGGCAAATCAGACATAATTAGTTCCTCAAGCCAAATGCTATTTTGAATAGTTTAAGTGGTACAGGGATCCTGGTTCTCAGTTCTCAGCTTATCAGCACCTACACACTGCCTACTTGGTGGTCAGACAAGTTGGTTTCGACTTTCGGAGTCACCTTTCTTTCCTTTCCCAAACAACAACCCCATCTGTGTTTTCGGGAACCCACAACAGCGCTCCCAAGTAATTCCTTTCTCTGCAGTTGGCTGTGTCTGCGCCTGGCTTGTACATATATTGAACCATCTATCCGGCAGACACAAGGGCTCACTTTGGAAGAAGTTAGTGCCCGAGGGGAGGGAGGAGGAGAGGGGACCAAGTGGAGCAGGAAACAAAACGCAGGATAAGTGCAGGGATGAACGGGGGAGGGGGAGGGTGCCTCACAATGGACTCCCTTATGTCTTCAAAAATTACATTTTAAGTTTTGAAATTACAATACTAAATTGAAATATCTTATTTCAGCGCTGCAGTCGGAGGCAATTTTTCATGCGTATAAAGGGGCGCTCGGCTAGGACGAAGGACGAGCGGCAGAGGACGAAGGACAAGAAGCTAACGAGCCGCATGGCAGGCAAAACTTTGCTGAATTTATCAACGGGCCCTCGTGTGTATCTGTATCTTTTGCATTTATGAAAATGTAATAATAACAAAAGACGCAATGCAGACGCGGCAGAAGTAAGCTGAACACAAACACAGGACATCGCATCCAGGATGGAGGGGCGGAAACCGGGATGTGCAGCATATGTGTGCATGGCAACCCTAGATAAACGTATGGCTATCCAAATGCCTCTGTATCCGTATGTGTATGTGTGTGTTGCAACTTGAAAAATTTGTCAAAACTAATTACCATAAAACTCGCATCAGTCGGCAAAGGCCGAGCAAGAGTTGCAATTGCAACTGAGGTTTGATAAATACGCGTATAAAATCATACACTTCACAATACCTACTACTCAAACCAAGCAGTTAAATCCCAATATTTTAGCTCCGACTTACAGTTCCACGAATCGGGTGGAAATGTAATTAAATTGAACTTGCCCTTAAAGGAAAGCACTCAGCAGGCTGCACCGCAGTGAATTCAAACAAACCGTGTCGGTGGCTTACCTGCGACTCCCCCTATGTATGTTCCCCTCGAAGGCAAATAAAACTCCAATTAGCAGCTCAAATCAAAGTCAGTCAGTTCTGCCGGAGGACAAGTAGCATCGAGAGCACTGGGAATCGGACCCGGGGGCCAGAGAACAGAGAGCGAGCCAAAAATAAAATATAAAAATAAAGAAGTAACAAAAAGTTAAAGCCGCGTGTCCAGAAAAGTTGCGGGTATTAAATTGATACCGCGAAAGGGGGGCTGGGGCAACGGGAAAATGGGAATATGGGGGAGTGGGAAAAGGAAAAACAAAAATGAAAATGGAAAGGGTAGTTTGGGGCGCTTGAGAGTTTGCTGCGATATTTTGCCTTTGATAGAAAACAATTTTTCTACTCCATTTCACGCGTTCAAGGCAGAACCATAAAAGCTGACCAGAACGAGACCGAGACCGAGAGCGGGAGCGAGAACGAGAGGGAAGCTCGGTGGGAAAGGGACGAAAATACGAAAATAGGAAAATAGGGGGATCCGCCAGCGTAAAGATGCCACCAGACCGATAAACGTTAGAAATGAAATAACAATAAAACCAATTTTTTTATATCGACCATCGCCGAACGAAGTTTGCCGCTCTCTTTCCCCGCAGCGAAAGTCGTGTGAGTGTGCGTTGACCCAATTCGCTTTGGCCTTGTTACTGTTACTGTCACCGTTCACCGGTCTGGTTTCTTTCAGTGTACAAGCGTCTAAATGCAAATCATTATGCCAGAAAAACACTATCAACAGCAAGTGCTGTGATTGAATGCTTGTGAGTCTCGGACTTGCACTAACATTAAGCATCGAAACCTACGAGGAATAATATTTTTGGAGAACAATGGCGTTTGTACTTTAAGGCATTTTTAATGAATCAACTTTTTTTTGTTCCGATCAGCATACGTATACGTATACCTCCCCCTTCCCCCATACTCTTTTTTGTCATTAGCAACTTAATAATGGGAAGCCCACCTGTAAGTTGAAATGTTTATACAAGCCTATTAACCGAAACCTGCTCGCCTAATGCCATTCCATGTGCCGTACACTCGCACACGTTGTTCTTAGGACGAGTTTTGCAGCCCCTTCTGCCCGAAAAGAGCGCTAAAAACTTTTGTCAATAAAGAAAACATCAACAAGTACAAAAAGAGCAGAGCGAAGACGGGTTTTTTCGGTGATTCTACTTCTATTTGTTTGCCTGTTTGCTGACCGACCGTGGAGGCTGCTTCTTCGGGAGGGGCTCTGTGTACACGTGCCCGAAGAGGGTTGAAGAGGGTGGAAGTGGGTGGAAGGGGGTGGCATCTGTCAGAAGAGAAGGGACGGAGCAGAGGGGCGGACATCGTTCGCAGCGCTCGGCAAACGGATTCCGATTGACCTACAACGCGTACATGTGAAGTTCAAAACTTGACCCTGAAGTGGCGGAGGCGGAAATCAAAGCCAGCGCTCCGAGCTGGGGATTCGTACGAGTGTACGAGTGCTCACTTGACGTCGATGATGGGAATTACGAAACACGAAACATGAGTCACAAAACACGAGAAGTATTCAAAGAGTATTTCTGTAGGAGAATTATTAGTGAATTGAAGGCAATATTCAACATATGCTGACAGATGTCAGTGATCAGTGTTTCCATTTCGAGGCAGGGCTTTCTCCGTCGGTCGGCAGCATCTTATGTATTCAAATGAGTGCCCGGATCACCAGTGAGCCTTTCTCCAAGTCCCCAAAGTGAAACCTCCCAACGATGTGGGGAAGCACCTTAAAGACTGTGCGTTCGAACTTGTGATTGCCGCAGAGAAAAGCACCGAAGAGTGATCAGCCAAACTGTTTGTTTATTGTTCCCCTCCGAAACGAGTTAAACGTGAATTTTGTTTTTTTTTTTTCGGGGGTTGTCGCATCGAACAATGGGCACAGTGACGGTTGGGCGTCAAGTCGGGCGTTAATTATTGATTAGCTTAAAGCCCGATTAACAAACCGGCAACTGGCTTAGAACGAAACGGAACGTCCGACGCCAAACAACTTCCACCGCGCTCTCCGAAAACGCGTAAAAAACCCGAAAAATCAAGAGAGTTACACAAGGAGAAAATATCCACTCCAGCGAGATAAATTCGGATGTTTTCTTAAAGTTCGCGGAGACATTACCCATTCTTTTTTTTTACATTTTTTTTTTGTTTTAGGAAAGTGAAAAAAAAGTAGTCTTTCTTTATAGATAGATTTTACTTGAACAGATTGCGTGTAGCGTATTTAACGACTGTTTGCCTCTTATACAAATGTGTTATTAGCCCGAAATTATTTACAGTGCAGGCGGAGAGAAGAGCTGCGAGAAGAACCGGCGGAACAACAAACTGAACAGCGGGACCGCAAAAAAAAACACGGCGGATAGACAATAAAAGTCGGCCAGCGGCCAAATCGCGCTCATTGCGTGCGCTGTTTTCGCAACGGCAACGGAAAAATAGCCACCCAGTTAAGGTGCGAGCGAGATAGCGCACTACGGCAACGGAATTTCAACGGGTTTTCAGTACGGAGAGTCGGAAAATAAGAGGACGCAGTAGCAGTAGCAGTGGCAGGATGCGACACGCATTTGTTGGATTAATTGTGTGCTGGCTGGCAGTTTGTCAACCGCAAGGTAAATATTTTTGGAATGCGACACGCGACGGGAACGGGCACGGGCACAGGCACAGACAGGATAATGACAGGATATACATACATATACATACGCCCCAGCACTCCACACACCCTCACTCTCACACACACACTCACACACACACACACCCGCTCTGTTATTACAGCAATAATTGCAAAATTATCGCTGGATTTTGCCTACGTGCGTTGTATTGTCAACAGGAAACCGGGGAAAGCGTTCACAAAAGGAAGATGAGACAGAGATGTGTAAGAAAAAGAGACGGAAGATTAAGTTGGCTCGGAGGACTGGGCGCATCAGAACATTAACTCGGATTTCGCAAAATGAACACCTGATGAAAGCGAATTTCGCAGGAAAATTAATTAGATAGAGATCGAAAGTCCTTTTGATTCCTGGTTAGACTCCAAAATTTAATTGGAAAAACATACTACCGATGCCTTCTACCTGATTGGTGTTCAACCAGGTGAAACCAGTTAGCTTTCGACGTTCTTTTCGGCATTAAGCCGTCTCTTTCGTTTCTGTGCAATCGCACAAAGGCGACCAATAGCTGGTATAGAATAACATGTGGGAAACAAGTTCTGCAATGTTTACCCCAGAGCAACTTTGGGTAACTTTCCACGGGGGCTTCTTTCCGCAAAACGATATCCTAGTAGCAATCCTTTTAATAGCAAACAGCAAAAAGGAATTGTAGTCCGAAAAACCTGACTTGTCTTGCCCATACTGCTGACGATCTTGCGAACACCACGGCGAATGAGCAATAATCATCACTCATACGCAGTGTGATCTCTTAAAAATATCCTAGTAGCAATCCTTTTAATAGCAAACAGCAAAAGGGAATTGTAGTCCGAAAAACCTGACCTGTCTTGTCCATTCTACTGACGATCTTGCGAACACCACGGCGAATGAGCAATTATCATCACTCATACGCAGTGTGATCTCTTAAAAGTGAAAACAAAGAGGTCTGTTGTGCCGCAATGTCTTCCAACAGGTGTTAAGTGATGTTGATGTGTGCGCCTGGTCACTTATCATCTCCTGCTTTTCTTCTTTCCGCTTTGCAGCTGAGGCGCAGTTTGGAGGCTTCGGGTTCCAGCCGCAGTTCCAGCCGCAGGTCGCCTACCAGCAGCCGCAACAGGTATTCCGCCGACCCCAGGTGCTCCAACGGGCTTACCAACCAGCTCCGCTCTCCCCCCCACAGTTCCAACAGTTCCAACAGCCCCGCCAACAGCGCCAGGGATCCGTGTCCAAGGCGAACACGAACGCGTACGAGCGGCAGGTGGACTTCGGCAACAACCTGGAGTACACCCAGGGCCTCTCCAACTCGCGGGCGGTGACCAAGCAGAACGGGCAGCGCGTGGTGACCAACAGCCAGGCGCGGACGCGCGACGTCGACCTGGGCGGCCTGCAGCTGGGCAACACCCTCACCAGGACAAGCACCAACGCCAACGGGCAGGTCTCCCAGGGCATCGCCGACCAGTTCCGCATCGGGGACGTGGGTCTGGGCGCCTCGCTCTCGCCGCAGAACCTGCGCAACGGCTTCGGGCTGCAGCGCGGCGCCGACGGCGACCTCCGCCTGGGCCTGGGCCTGCTCAACCTCGACCTCGACCGGCACGTGGCCAACTCGAACACGCTCTCGCAGGCGCAGGTGAACGCGCAGGGCAAGGGCGCGCGGGCGGGCTCCAGCAGCAACTCGCAGTCGAACACGCAGCAGTTCGGCGGCGTCACCGTCACCGACACCCGCTCCAACTCGAACGCCTTCGGCAAGGCGCGCCGCGGGCAGACCTCAGCCACCGCCGGCGGCTTCGGCGGCAGCGCGGCCACCGGCGGCCAGCTCGTGCGGCGGCAGGTGCGCCAGCCGCAGTTCCAGTACTTCAACCAGCGGCCCAAGCGGCGGGCCCAGTTCGTGCCCTTCGGCTACCCGGGCGGCGGCTTCGGACCCGGACCCTTCGGACCAGCGGGCCTGCTCGACCGGCCCAGGCGCCAGTTCGGCGGCGGCTTCAACGGCGGCTTCGGCGGACCGGGCTTCGGCGGTGAGTTAGCAAGAAGTGAATTTGGTTGAGTAAAGGGATGGGTCAGGGCCAACGTGGCGGATGAGGAATGCGAACACTGTTCGAGCACATTACTCATTCGCCCTGTGGACTGCATTGAACAAAAGAAAAAGAAGAGGCATGCGAAGAAGGTTTCTTTGCATTCGATCGAAGGCAACGAGAGCCCAGTGCAGTTTGAAAAACTGAACTACTCGTGCGCAGTGTGCACCTGCCAATTTTCAGCTCTGATCTATGACCCATTTATCACCCCCAGGTGGATTCGGAGGCGGGCCAGAGTTCGGCGGCGGCTTCAACGGCGGACCCCAGTTCGGCGGACCGGAGTTCTACCAGCAGCCCCAGCAGCAGCAGCAGCACAAGAAGAAGGGCGGCGGCGGCAACCGCAACCAGAACCAGGCGCACGGGAACGCGAACGCGCAGGGAGGACCCGGGTTCAACCAGCAGGCCTCGACGAACAACCACGCGAGTCCGGGCGACACGGGCAGCAGCTCGATCAGCTCGAACCTGGCGCAGGACGGCAGCAGCGGGCAGGTGAGCTCGGCCAACACGAACACGCACCAGGGCCAGACGGCGGGCGGCGGCTTCGAGAGCGGCCAGAACTCGCAGAGCCAGGCGCTCAACTTCCGGCCGGGGCAGCAGCAGGCCTCCAGCGCGAACGCGAACACGCAGCACACGCAGCAGGGCGACCGCGACACCTACTCCTCGAACAGCGGCTCCACGGCCACCAACAACAACCAGTTCGGGTCGTCGACCAACACGGCCAACACCAACTCGCAGGTGGTGCGCGAGGGCAACTCGCAGGACGCGACCAGCGACGCCAACAGCCAGAGCATCTTCCAGGGCAACAACGGGCAGGGCGACGCCTCCGCCCAGACGAGCGCCCAGACGAACAGCCAGCGGGGACCCGGCGGCTTCGTGAGCAACTCGGCCTCCAGCAGCGCCACCGCCACCGCCCAGAACGGCCAGTCGGCGAACGCCAACGCGAACGCGAACGCCGGCGGCGACGGAGGCTTCGGCGGCGGGGGCTTCGGCGGCGGAGGAGCGGGGGGAGCGGGCGCGAACGCCGGCGCCAACGGCGGCGGATTCGGGGGCTTCGGCGGCGGAGCGAACGCCAACAGCGAAGCCTTCGGCCCCTTCGGATTCTTCGGACGTTAGTTGAACCCCTTTCTCGTTTTAAATCAACAGCACTCTCCTTTTTGTCACCCACGAAAGCACGAAAATAAATGCATTTTGTTTAGCTAAGTTTAAAACTATAACACACACTGGCACACTGGCACTTCGATCGGTTCTGGTTCCTCTGAGGAGGGTTGATGTTGTGGAATCACCATGGAATCACCTCCCGATTAACCTGTTCCCCATGTTCCCCATGTTAATCCCGCAGTTCGGCAGCGAGCCCAGCAGACGATTCGCTCGCACCGCTGGTCGCAGCGTCCGCAGAACGGCTCTTCGCCCAGGAGCTCCTCCTCCTCCTCCTCCGTCGACGGGGGATTCGAGCTTGTGTTCTTCAACCACTCGACCCACTCGACGGCTCGGCTGGAGGACCTGGGAGGGTTGGAAGACCTGGAAGACCAGCACTCGGCAATGCCAAACACCTCGGTGGAGGCCTTCGCACCCTTCGACCGCTCCCAGCGGCAGGGACGCACCTTCGGCGTGATCTACGACTGGATCAGCGGACTCTTCAACTCCTGCGTCTCGCCCTGCACCCTGGAGGCCTTCCAGAAGCAGACCTGCTGCGAGACCTACGTGGTGGATCCCTCCATCCCGCCTCCCCCTCCCCCTCCGCCACCTTCCGCCTGCTGTTCGCCAGCGAGGCCCTCCTACGCTCCTCCCCCTCCCCCTCCTCCGCCTCCCGCCTACCCCTACCCCTACCCCAACCCGAGTCCCTACTACCCACCCCGCTACCCGCCGAACAGGAAGACGCCCGTGGTGGTGGTGGCCACGCCCATCAACTGCTGCACCGTCTGCACCTTCACCTACTACGGACCGCCTCCGTGTGGGCGGAACTACGACAACAGCAGCGGCGACGGCAAGAAGGTCACCATCTACGTGCCGCCGCCCTACTACGGTCGCTGAAGCCCGAGCTTGCAACGTGAATAAAATAAAGTACTACTGCTGACCAGGTGATCCCTAGTGAGGTTTTCCATCTGCTCCGTCTGAAGGGATAAACCACTGGCGGAGAGGAGAATGACAAATCTCGAAGGTAACTTCGGCCACTAATGTAGAGAAGAGCTTCTCCAACTCGCAGATGAAGCAGAAATCAGTTGAGACCGACTGGAAGGGCCCGAAAGTATGTCTCAATTTTTAGAGAAACACGTCGACTTTCAGAGGTTTAAAATCCACCAGAAGTTCGAACTCGAGAGTGGCGAACAGGACGGTGTGGCTTTAAAGTAAATACCGAAGACCGTGGCGTGGAGTGCGGCAATACTTTCACCTCAACATATGCGAGTGAGTATCTGACCCGAGCCACAAGGTCCCATTGTTTGCCTGTTGTTCGCCCGGCTAATTCGGAGAGCGCTTGCATAATCTCCGTGGGTGTGGGCTTTGTTGCTCGGGGAAATCCTGTCAAAAATGCGGCAAATAAGACACACGACATGGCAAACGGACGGAGTGAGGGGTGCTGGGTGCGGGGTCTGTGCACATTCATAGCTGCACTGGCGAAGAAGAAAAGTTCTGATACCCTGGCCGAGGAGCTGGTCATACGAGCACTCCCGGTGGCTCGGATTCCACGCCCTGCACCCTCTGCAGTCACAAGTTCGTCGCAGGAACCTCGAGGTTTTCGACTGCGTTCCGACGCTCTTGACTGATGTCGGGAACCAGCTTGAAGCTTGAGGATATCCCGCATTCGTCGTTCGCGGCCTCAACTCGGAGGCGGCAGGTTAACGTGTCCCATCTTTTGGCGCTTTTGTTCTGCGGCTGCCTTCTTCTGCTTCTCCTTCTTCTGTGGGCGGAGGCCTCTTGTGCCGTTGACTTTTGCGCCTAAGCAAAATTCGTGCCATGTGTTTTGCGGCTGCTTTGTTTGTTGGCTCAAATTCGCTGGCAGACTGCCACACGAGGACTCTGTGGCACTGCTCGTCGGCTCGTCCGGGGATCGGGGCGCCGAAACTCAAAACTGAAACTGAGACCAAGGCTGCTAGTGGGAATGGTTGTGGGACTGGGACTGGGACTGGCACTGGGAACGAGGAGCAGACAGGACATGTCACGTCAGCGGCACAAAGCCCAAACACAAAGGCCTGATAACTGCAGCCGCCCGATAAGCTGCGCCCCGGCGAGCACCGCCCTCCCACTCGAGGACACTCTGAATAAAAACGGCTCCCGGCTCTGCCCCTTTGAAGCGTCGGCTCCCAGCTCAGAGGTTTCCTCCCCCGGTTTCTCCGAGTGCAGCCCTTCCTGCAGTCCCACGTCCCACGGGACGCCCACCCGTCCCATTCCCATTCCCATTCCCATTCTCATTCGCCGCCCGGAAGCACAAGTCGCCCCTTTTGTCATTTCGCTCATAACGTTAATTTATATTCAGTTCGGTTCAGTCTAAAAGAGAATAGCCAGTGGAGCAGAGCTGTAGCAGAGCTGGAGCAGAGCTGGAGCAGAGCTGCAGGGGGTGGGGGGTGCTGAGGGGATCCTAGTTGTAGAACTGCTGGCGACGGCGCTTCGCTGGGGCGGCGGCCACGAAGCGGCGGCCGGAGCTGCTGGAGCTGCCGGAGACGCCCTCGCTGGAGGAGTAGAGCAGCAGCGGGATCTCCTCCACGCTGGTCTGCTGCTGCTGGGCGGAGTTGCGCACCCCGGAGCGGAGCAGCTCGTCGGCGGACAGGCGGCGCAGGGCGGCAGCAGCGGGGGCGGCGGAAGCGGGGACGGAGGCGCCCTCCAGCAGCTGGTCCTCGTCGTTCTCCGGCTGCTCGAGGACGAGGTCCTCGGGCTGGGCCACGGCGATGCTGTTGCCCACGGGGGTCTCGCCCTCGTTGTCGGCGGCGGCGATCGAGCTGCTCTGGAGCAGGGCCTCGATGTTCTCCAGGTTGGAGAGGCCGTTGATCTGCAGCTGGTCGTGCAGCTCGCTGGGGATGGCGATGGCCTGGACGTCCTTGTGGCCCGAGATGCCGTTCGGCGTCGGGATGAACTGCACGTTCTCGGGGATCTGGTCGGTGGGGTAGACCGGCACCAGCTCGGCCTCGTTCTCGTTGCTCGACTTGAGCAGGATCAGGGAGATGGGCACGATCTTCTTGAACTTCAGCAGCACCAGCTTCTTGATGGCCACGGCTCCGGGGAAGACGCGTCCCTGCGGCCCGCCGTGCGGCTTGGCGATGAGGGCGCGCTGCTCGAACTGCTGCCTGCGGTGGCCGCCCACGTGACGGGCTGCTGGGCGAGAGGAGCGAGATGGCAAATGCGAGAGTGAGAGAGTGAGAGAGAGGGAGGGTAAGGCAGAAGATTCCTCCAGAGTCCAGAATCGGAGCTCAACAGGAGTTCACCACTTGGCAGGGAGTTCAGCTTGCAGAGGTTCGGAATGATCGCAAACTAATTGCTGGTTGCTGATTAATAGCAGCAGCGATTAGGCAGCGATTTAGCAGCGATTAAGCACCGATTTAGCAGCGATTAAGCTGCGATCGCAGCCCCGCAGCGAACGTAGTCCATCACTCACCTTCGCAGACGGCCAGGAGGGCCAGGCCGATGGCCAGAAGGGCTACCAACTTCGTTGCCATGATTGCTGGATCGGGGAGCTGCGGACTTCGACTTGGACTGGGACTGGGACTGAGTGGGATTGAACGTGGACTTGGGTCTGTCGCTGGACGAGGGCCTCTATTAAATGGTTAAGCAAGTGCCCGGCAAAGACATTTTATACAGGGGAGGAACGTTCGCCGGGCCGCAAAAAAAAAACGAGCGAAAAAGCGGAGACACATAAAAATCACCCGAAAAACAAAAGAAATTAGGAAGCCAGGCAGAACAAAGTAAAATGTGGCGAAATTGGAGGGAATTGGGCGATTGGCAAATTATTAAACTATGCAAATGTCTTTCGACTGATTTATGCACAAAACCAGAAACGGAAAGAGGAGAACCGAAAGCCATTCCGTCCCAGAGATCCCAGAACGTTGACTTTTGGGGCCTCCATTTCCATTTTGAGTTCGAGTTCGAGTTGCAGTTGCCTCTTACCGACCAAGGCAGCGAAATTTGCATTTGGGTCGGTTGTCTCCGTCTCCAAAACACGGAAAAATACGCAGAGAAGACCTGAAGAGTCTGGCCGAATCTCGAGTCGATTTGAGGTCAAAAGTGAGATTTTCAGTAAGTCAAGCCGCTTCCATTTGTCACTGTCTGCTGTCCGAAGTGGGCGAGGTCCCACTGTTCTCCCCCTCGGATGTCAGAGTTCGGGGTTTATTTGGGGCACCTCCATTCGCCATCCGCCAAGTCTTGGATATAATCTTGCGGCCAGCATGTGTTCCCCATTCGGACTGAGCGAACAACGGGCATTTGAATCAATCAAGCGGATTGGGTCCACAGTGCGAAGTTCGTTCCTTCCCCCGCCAGCCGTTCTCCCAGCGAAAGTCGGCTCCACTTAGAGCCACATATTAAAATATTTGCCCACCTACGGGAAGACAGATTATGGTTCTATGGGATTTATGGCCGCCTGCTTGTTGGGCTTGTCTCATCATCCCATTGTTTACTAATCTCAATAGATTTTACATTGTTTTTGCTTCTACTTTGGAAAAGAATTTGTAAGAGTGCCTGAGCTATATGCTCGTATTGATAAATATTAATAGTGTTCATCTTTAAGCGGCTTAAAATAACATTAATTACCCTTCCCCAGCCAAATTAGGCAAAATAAAAGATTTGTATAAGCCAATAAACTACACTACACTACAAAGAAACGTCATCGAGGTGAAGAATTACAGGCGTTTAGGGCCTCCGTCTCCCTTTATTGAAAACTCACTTTATTGAACACCATCGGAAGCATGGAAAAATCTGACATGAACAGGGTTCGAAATTTCGACCTTAGGAAAATGGGAAATTTTGAATGGGGTTGTATCAAGGATGCGAATACCAACGTTTAGAGGTATGTAACTATGGAATCAGAATAAAATTGACGATGTTATGGGTTCTGGAAGTCCAGTTTTAGGTCACTTTACTGAAAACCATCGGAATGTTGGAAAAATCTGACATGAACAGGGTTCGAAATTTCGACCTTAGGAAAATGAAAAACTTTGAATGGGGTTGTATCAGAGATGCGATTACAAAAGTTTAGAGGCATGCCACTTTGGAGTCAGATTGAAATTGACAAAGTCATGGGAACAGGAACTGAAGGCTGGGGTCTCCTTGCTGTAAACCGTCACAGACTTGGAAAGTTCTGACATGAGAGGAGGTCTCAAATTGACTCCACTCCGAAATCGGGGGGAAATTAGTTCAAAATGTAGGCGCATATTCAGGATGTTTTTCAATAATCCTTGTAAAACGTAACTTAGTAACTGGGACTACTTTAGTTACATAAACTTGTGGCAGCAAAGCGGCCGAAAATATGAAAATAATATTTTATTGGTCGGGCGAACCGAATCATTCCCGCTGTTGATATCCGTTCGAATTATAATTAAATTCCTTAAATGGCGCACGAAATCGGCGAGCAATCGATTGCCGCAGCCCGATCTAGTTGCCAATTGAGGGCAGTGCCACGGGTGGTATGATTAATTTATGTGCTGTGTGCTGTGTTTTTTCGGCCAACATTTTTTGCCAGCCTCTCGAATGGTTTATCTAATTTATGTTATTGCCGCGGCAATTATTTAAATTTTCCACAGCTACCGTTGGCAGTGCTTTGTAACGGCGAGGGCGTTCTGGGAAAAAGGAAAACATATTTGCGGCTCATTATGGGCGACATAAACAAATGTTTTAATAACCAAATTATGCGGACAAGAACGCGATTTATTCATTAGCCGTGAGGCCTGGACGAGCAAAAGAGATCCAGCCAAGTTATTTGATGCTAATGGAAATGCATAAAAAAATCATAAATACTCATTAGCAAAGAGTTTTTGCTCGTTTTTCTGCGTATAGTATGTGGGAAGCACGGCGAAGAAAGTTGCCCCACGTCGGGGTCATCTCTTCGCCACTCATCGCCGGCGGGGTCAGCATATTGGAAAGTTACTGCAGTAGGGAAAGTTCTATTTTTGGACCCTGGCTATACGAATTCCCGAAATTAGCACAATGATCCGCATTCGGTGAAAAGAAATCGCTCGCAGGAAATGACTAGTAAGTTAATAGCCAATAAACTCGGTCACCCAATGTTCTGCAGGCTTGGAGCTCTAAATTTCGTTTTGGGTAGCTGTTTTTTATGCTAACTATAAAAATCTTTAATCTTTACTTTTATATATATATTTTTTAACTTTTTAATAGACCTCTTCAGTTAGGAGTCTCATTCCGCTATTGGAACTGCTCTCGGCCCAAGACATATTATGTAACAACAAACTTACAGGCTAAGAAGTTAAGTAGTATCAGATTTCAACTATTTTCAGAATAGCTAGGCTAGGAGTGTTCACCATTAATACTGTCATTTCAAAAACATTTAAACATATATAAATATAAAAATAAATACACAAATATATATAAATATAAAAAAAAATATATAAATAAATTGTTAAATATGTTCGAGAGCCCAGATACAAGGAAGCGGGATTTTTGTAACATGGCTTTTTGAAGAGTGTTAGGTGGTTCTGAAGAGTGTTGGCTTGGAATTCCGGGCTAGGCGTGGTCAGCAAACCCGAATGAACCCTGCTCGTATATGTTCCCCGACCGGCGGGGCCGTTTGGCGACGCGACCTGCGACCCTCGGCGATCTCGTTTGGCCAGCGGTCAAGAACCGCAAATTGATTTACAGCCGCCGGTCGCCGGGGAGAGAGCTTGGCTCGGAGCTTTGGGGGCGACGGCTCTCTCCGAGGGCCGCTCTTCGGCAGCGCGCGCTTCTGGCCAGAACCGTAAGCGTTTGTAGACGGCACATAAAAAGCTCGGGTCGCGGCGCTCCCCCAACAGTTCGGCTAAAGAAACCTCTGTCTGTGGACCCCAGAAAACGAGAGCTTGCGAAAGACCAGACCGCTAAAAGTTGAGAACCCAGTGCGTGTGTGACTCCGATCCCCGATTCCCGATACCCGAGAACCATGGCCAAGTTCGTGGTGGTGGGCCTGTGCCTACTGATGGTGGCCACCTTCGGCCAGGCGGTCCTCGCCGTCACCGAGGCTCCGCAGGTGGAGCAGTCGACGGAGTCGCCCATCGCCGACATGGCGCTGATTGGTAGGACCTCGGATCGCCCAGCCCCTCCCTTTCCCCTTCCCAAAATCAAAAACCTCCCCTCAATCCCCTCCCCCACCCCCATCATTAATCAGATGCTTTTTTTTTCATGTGTTGTGATTTCTTTGTGATTTTTTTTTCTGGTTCTGATTCTGATTCTGATACTGATTCTGTTTCCGTTTTTGTTTCTGTTTGTGATTTGTGCGTGGAGCAGAGGAGGCGCCGATGGCCCCCAAAACACCCACGGAGAAGCCGCCCGTCGTCCAGGACTCCTCGGCGGCGGAGGCCCAGGAAAAGGCTGCCCCGGCTGCTTCCGTTGTCCCAGTTGTCCCAGTGGCCCCGGCTGCCTCGCAGCAGCCGCACACCGTGGCCGACTTCATCATCCACCCCCTGATCGCCTTCAAGCCGCGCCAGGCCTCCCTCGAGGAGATCCAGGGCAAGCAGGCGCCGGCCGCCCCCGGGTCGAGTGCGCCCGCCTCCCCGGGCACCTGGCTCTTCGGCATGAACCCCGCCCAGCAGCTGGGCTCCTCCTTCTCGACGCTGGCGGGCTCCGTCTCCGGGTGGTTCAACGACCGCCTGGCGGCGGCGGGCCAGCAGCTGCCCGGCCTGGTGGAGACCCCCGTGCGGGAGTCCTCCTCCAGCACCAGCAGCACCACCTCGACCACCACCCAGCGGCCCGACATCGTGGTGCGGCTGCAGCAGCGTCCGCAGCGGAACGGCAACCGCAATGGCAACGGCAACGCCAATCGTAATGGCAACGGAAATGGAAACGGAAACGGATTCGCCAATGGCAATGGCAACAGGAACGGAAACGGAAACGGCGGTAACCTGAACAACAATAGGCGACGCCAGCGACCGAACCGCTTCAACAACCGACTGGACTCGTTCGAGGACGACTACTACGAGGACGACTACTTCCAGGGAAACCGCTTCGACGAGGAGTTCGACGACGACGAGGACGAGCAGAGCCTGGAGCAGTTCGAGGACGAGGACTCGCTGGAGCTGCGGCCCCAGCAGAAGCCCAAGAGGAAGCAGACCCAGGCGCAGGCGCAGAGCCAGCGCAGGAAGTTCCCCCAGGAGGAGGAGCAGGTGGTCAGCCAGAAGCGGCGCCAGTCCGCCACCCACAGCAAGAAGCCGCTGGCCCAGAAGCGGCCGGCGCATCCCGCGCCCGAGGACTCCCAGGACGAGGAGGAGCAGGAGGACGATCAGGAGAACGACGACGACGAGGAGGAGGAGCCCCAGGAGGACGACAGCCAGGAGCAGGACTTCCAGCCCGAGCCCCTCTTCGCCTCCACTTCTACGCGGCGCAGCCAGAACCAGCCCAACTTCATCCAGCGCGGCCAGCAGAGCATCATCAGCCAGATCCGCCAGTTCACCCGCGGCCAGACGCCCGGCGAGCTGGCCACCACCCTCCGCAGGACCCCCTCCTCCGCCTCCGCCTCATCCGGATCGGAGCCGGGATCGAAGAGCCGCAGGCCGCAGGCCACCACGCTGCTGGTGAACCGCAACGGACAGACCGTCTACCTGGCGCCCGAGCTGCTCGGCCTGCAGAACCCCTACCCCTACGCCTACGCCCCCAGCGGCGCGAAGAAGCAGCGGGTGCCGGTGGGCGGGGCCTTCCCCAGCCGCCCCTAACGGTGCCGGTGCGGCGGCAGGGGCGCCCCACGCAGTACATCACCATCCCGTGGAGCCAGCTGGGCCTCTCGCCGCCCGAGCAGCAGTCGGTGGTCTCGTTGGCCGAGGGCCTCCAGGCGCAGCCGCTCATCCTGAACATCCCCCAGAGCGCCATCAGCCCGGTGCGCACCTCGGGCGGCCAGAAGAAGAAGCGGCCCCAGCTGACCGCCGCGGCGGTGCCGCTCCTGGCCGACGCCTCCCTGATGGACATCTTCCAGCCGCCCCAGATCCCGCCCTCGCGCACCGGAAGCCCCTCCTCCGGCTCGAGCAAGCCCATCTCCGCCCAGCCCGTCCTGATCGCCGCCAAGCCGGTGAAGGCCGGCGCAGTGGGCGCCGCGGGCCTCCTACCCACGCGCATCCGCCCGGGCACGATCGTGGAGAAGGCGCCGGCCATGGAGGCCATGGACAAGCCCCTGGAGGCCGCCGAGGCCAAGCCAATCCAGGAGGCGGAGGCGAGCCCTGTGGAGCCGGCTGCACCCCAAGCGACGGCTGCCAACGGAGGAGCGGAGCAGCAGGAGTTCATCCTGGTGGGCGACGACGACGAGCCGGGAGTGTCCCGCCACGTGCAGCCGGCCTTCGGGGACGCCCGCTTCGTGTCCTACGGCGACTTCCACCCCTACTTCGACCTGCTGACCCAGAACAGGCGGTTCGCGCTGAGGAAGAGCGGCAGGTCCCTGGAAAATGCCGAGGAGCAGGCGGCTCCCAAGGCTCTGACCACCTTTGGCAAGGCCCCGCAGGAGGAGGCTGAGAAAGAGGCGCAGCCAGAGAAGGAGGAAGTCAAGGTGGAGGAGCCCAAGAAGGAGGAACCCAAGAAGGAAGAAATCAAGGAGGAGGAACCCAAGAATGAGGAAATCAAGGAGGAGGAACCCAAGAAGGAGGAACCCAAGAAGGAGGAACCTAAGAAGGAGGAACCCAAGAAGGAGGAAATCAAGGAGGAGGAACCCAAGAAGGAGGAGCAATGAATCTACCAGCATAATTCTGTAAATCAAAAGCCCTAAAAAACGAACCCACACGAACTGTGAACGAAATAATGAAGAAACAAAAACACAAGCAAAACAACCCAAACGATTTTCAATCCCCGTGAAAACCACAAAGAAATAAATTTTTTTTACTTTTTTTTTGCGTGTGTTAATGCCTGACCAAAAAGTCGAAGAGCCGACCAGAGAGAGAATTATTAGCATATCCACAAGCCGAGTTGCTTTTGGCCAGTTGAAAGTTCACGTGCGAGAGCATTGACCCCCGAAAAATAGAAAAACCTGATCTCGTCTCGGACCAAGAAGAGATGGTATATAAATGAGGACCGCGCGCTTTGACCAATTAAAGAATTCATCTTTCTTTTGATTACGCTTCTTTTTCGTGCCTTTCCATAATTAATATTCGCCAACGACAAAAAAACTGCGCGGCCGGGGTCAAGCCTAATGTATTCCGCTTGGAGAATCGTCGGACGCCTTATCGATATGCAAATCAGTTGACCGATTAACGGCACTTGGCGTACGTACCGTTGCCTGATCACAACGAACGATCGAAAGCAACCCTGCAAAGGGGCTTTACGCGTTGCAGCTTTTTGGGGTACCGTAGAAAAGTTAAAACCCAAGCATTTGCTGTAGAAAGCAACCAATTCCTCAGATCCTTGAGCTTAATGAGCTTTGAATCAATTTCAAAAAAATCGTTGTTAAAAAACTAGGTAGAAATCGATAGCATAGCTACCCAAAAGCTCAAAGCTCTTTACAAGGATCATATAACTCTCTTCACATCAGCTGGATAAGGTAAAAACATAATAAAGCGTTGCAGGCAGACAATACAAAACTGAAAAGTAGCGAACAAGTCTTTGAAAGCTCCCTTTATACGTACAGATTTCATTTATACTATTTCCATTGCGTTAGAATTATCTCTAACAATCCAGACCGACCGAAATGCTAGTATTTTGTTGTTTCCATTGTCTTTATGACAAATATCAATCAAAATGATTGGTTATTAAACCGACTCAAAATTCAGACCAGAGATGAACCCATCCAATTGACAACTTGCAATTAGGAGAGATTCGGTTCCCAGAACTTCACAATGCCTTGGCAACTCTTGTGGGTCTCTCGCCGGCACGTTCGAATCTTGGTTGGGCAAATAACACACAAGTATTCTTTTTCAGCTTGATGACCCCGGGCAAGTAGGGAAGCCAAGCGGAGCTGGAACCAACCATCCAAGCTGCCACCACTCTGGCCTCCATTTTGCCCAGGGCCCGAAGGCGAAAATCTGCATAATCATCTGAGAAGAGCGGACACTTTTTGGCCGGCCTGCGAGCTCTTCGGCCGGTCAGTTGACGACATTATTCCATCCAGCGTGCCTCAAAGACCGTTAATTGTTCGCCACAACAAAAGAGCGGGGTTAACGCTCAGGCAAGTGGCGAAAACAAGCTGGCCCAGAGCTGGGTGCCAAATTAGGAAAGCGCGAAGAAAGATCTTCGAATTCCTATTCTCCGATTCTGCGATTCTGCGATTCGGCATGCGTGGATGGTGTGGTCGCATAAATTCATATGTGCCCCCAGGCAAAGGTCAGCACCTGCCGATCCGATCGATTCGGCCACACACACACAACCAAGACCCGCAACCCGGCAAGAACGGGCAACGAACTTTCAACTCGATCCGGCCCAGCCCATATGTCGGACTAAGCCAATTTATTAGCCATCTGCCAAACGGAGTTGGCCAAACCGAACTGGACAGCAGCTTTCTTTGTGCCGTTGCGCCTTCGCCTTTTCGAATGCCATTTCTGCGGCCTGACCCCATCGGACTTCTCCGTCGGCACATTCTTATGGAAATTAGGTTGGCGTTTCTTTTTGGTATTTAGATTTAAGTTTCGCACTTTCCGCGACCTGTTGCCAAGCGGACCTAACTGCGAATTCCCGAGAGCCTTCAATCAATAAAATACGTTCAATTTCGAATTTGACCCAAGTACGTTTGCATTTCATTTCGGAGAAAGGGGATTGGGAATTAACGGGGTTGTGAATCAGATTCTATGAATTTCCCCAACCTACATATGGCAACTATCTATAATCATTGAGTATAGAAATGAGTTCTTGAAAAATTCTAGAGGCCGCAAGAAGCCAGCTACCGTTCCAGATACTTAATTTATTTCTGAATATTTATATTCGCGAAACAAGTTATCAGCAAAATGCCTAAATTCCTGAGATGGCCAAAACTTCTTCTGGTTTCAAAAACAGAAGTGATTTTTGTTATCTTTGATCTTCGTGGAGTTCTGGCGGGGAGCTAACGAACTTCTGTTGGAAGAAAGTCGAGAATACACGCACTTGTAAAAGGTGTAACTAGTGCCCTTTGCAAACAGCCCCGACTGCTCCACGTGTCACTTGCCAATCATGGAACTTGAAAACCCAGAGCACAAGCCCGAGCCCGAACCGAAGTCCCAGATCAACCAGATCAACCAGATGAGCGAAATCAGCAAGATGAGCCGCAGGAACAACGACTCCGCCACCGCCACCGCTTCCGAGGACAAGGTGGTGATCTACGAGTTCGCCTGGCCCCTCCTGGCGGCCCTCTTCGAGCTGAGCCTGTACAGGATCCTCCTGGAGCTGCTGGCCCACGTCCTGCTGGCCGTGGTGACCGTGCTGGTGGTCAGCAAGTCCCTCGGCGTCGCCGGGGAGCGCAGCGGGAGGCACGCCGCGTACTCCGTCGTGGGCCTGCTCCTGTGCGCCGGCGAGGCCCTCCTGCTGAGCCACTCCTGGTGGCTGGACGAGCTCTCCTCCGGACGCGTCCTCCTGCTGCACATGCTCCTGGGCACGATGGGGCTCTGGCTGGGCGTGGTGGGCGTGTTCCTCAAGGGCGCGGACAAGTGGCGTGCCCGGGAGCCCCACTTCCGCAGCAAGCACGGCGTGCTCGGCCTCCTGGGCGCCCTGTTCCTGTGTGGCTCGCTGGTCAGCGGCCTGCTCCTGGTACTGTCGAGCCACCTGGTCCTGCACCTCGCCCACCGCCTGGCGGGACTCAGCGGCTTCGTGGCCCTCTGCTGCAGCCAGTGGTTCGCTCTCAACTCGGGCTTCGCCCGCCGGGAGTGGGGCGGCCGGCAGGTGCGGTGGCTCAAGATCGCCACCCTGGCCACCACCGTGTCGGTGAGTGGCTACGAGTTCCTCTGCCTCTCCAGGGACGTCGTCCGCCTGCTGCCCGCCAGCTGGTTCCAGGCGATCGGGCTGAGCGGTTGGCTTGACCCCCGTAACTAAACTGAAGGCTCATAGCCAACACAGAAGGCATAGCTAAACAACTTGATTAGGGAAACAATTGTAACACCTCTTTCAATGCAAGTACATATTTCATTTCATTGCGGTTAATACCAGCGAGGCTCAACAAGGAATATTCTCTTTGTGTTTGTTCCTTGAAAGAAAAGAGCCAAGCCGAACAAGGTGCGTAAGTCGAAGCCCTTGTGAGGCATTGGCCTTCTTTCTTGGCCGCAAGAGCCACTCCAGCGGCCTATTAATTGCCGACGAGAGGAATTATGGACAGCGCCATAACTCGGCCCATCAATCAGCGGTCCCATCCCAATCAGCGCACCCCTCCCCTCCGAGTGCCACTGGGCCATGGCCATAACCATAACCATGGCCGTGGCTAAGCAGCATGGCCGAGCTATATGACCGGTGGCCGGGGATCGGATGCTCGGCACTTCGCATGCGTCGCTGACTCCGAGAGCAGGTCCACCTCGCCATGGGTTCTCGGGCTCTTGAGTTCGCGAGTTCTTGAGCTGTCGGGTTCTCAGGTTCTCAGGTTGCCGGATGGCGGACGGACTCCGTGCGTGTCTCTGATTGTTTTGTCATTAGCATGACCGCCGCTTTCGGGCCGCTGGTGATCTTCGACTTTTGGATCGGCGGCCGTTGATTTATTCAGCGCTCTTTCTTCTTTTGTCCCGCCGGCGGGTCACTGACTTGCGCGGTTCTATTTCTATTTCTATTTCGGATTCTGATTATGATTCTGAATCCGATGCCGATGCTGATTTCTGTTTTTCTGCTTTTCCACAAATTTCGCCACTTGAAATTATGCCGCCATCGACCGCAATTATGCCGAGTTCTTCTGAGTGGTGGGCTCTCTCTTCTGGCATCCGCCGTTCTTGGTTCTAATTTCTAAGCCCGCTTCTGGCCAGAGCTTTTCGCATAAAAACCTAATGCCGCCGCCGCAGACCGTACAGTTCTGATCGGACTTTGCTTGCAATTAGGATCCGAGCGGCACTACTTCCCATTTCTCTGTGCACTTGAAGCGGAAAGCGAGAGGCGAAAACAAGAAGATGTCCAAGCTGGGAGCAATCTTGCTGGCGGGCCTGTGCCTGCTTGCGGCCGCCGTCTTGGCCGAGCCACGCCTCCAGGGCGTCGGCAGAGGCCAGCGGCAGGGGGCGCAGGTGCAGCACCCCTACCTCTTCCTGACCATCCCCAAGGGGCGGGCCAACGCCGGCGCCGTCGTCCAGGGCTTCGAGATCGTCGAGGAGGACGATCCCGACCAGGACGACCAGCTGGACGACGACGAGGACGACGTGGAGTTCAACAACCAGTTCAACTTCGCCCGCAGCGGCCTGGTCCGCCGAACGAGCCACAACAACGACGCCGACGACGACCAGGACGACGACCTCGACCAGGAGCTGGACCTGCAGCATGACCAGGAGCAGGAGCACGAGCAGGAGCAGGAGCAGGTTCAGGTTCGGGGTGCGGGCCAGGCGCAGGCTCCCAAGAAACAGATGGTGGTGCAGCGCGACCAGGCCGGGGCCATCATGGTGCCCGACGGCATCATCGAGATCGAGGGCCAGAGCGTCCTGGACGAGAAGACCGGCAAGGCGGCCCTCCTGGTGCCGCGCGCCGCCCTGGACGCGATCCCCGACGGCGCCGTGGTGGCCCTCATGGAGCGCTCCGCCGCCGCGGACGAGGTCGAGGAGGAGCGCGCCAACCGCGTGGTGGTGCGCCGGCGCAAGAACAACGGCCGCCGCAACATCCGCCGGCGGGGAATCAGCAGCGGCAACGCCAGCCGCCGCCGACGCCGCCCCGCCCAGCGCCGCCGTCAAGTGGGCGGCAACCGGCGACGCAACGTCCGCGTCGTCCGCCCCCAGAGCGGCAACCGGAGGCGTGGCAACCAGAGGCGCCGCGGCCAGGTCGTCCTCCAGGGCTGAGGCGCGAGTCGGGGCCCCCGCCCTTCTATATAGTATTATAGTTAAGCTCCCCTGATCAGGACACGACTTTGAGACACTTGATACCGATGCGACAAATAAAATGTGATATGAAAATTACTCATCTGCGATTCATTTTCCTTCATTGGGAAGCCCGCAAAGGGGTCTTCTACGCGGGACTGGGCAATGGGTTAAATTTCTGGGTTCAGAACAAGCCCAGGAATATTTTCTATTTCTACTTAACAAAGTTCACTGAGATCGGATCAGAAACCAAGTAAATATCCTTCAAACAGGGGTCTTTTTACTGTATAAGAATATTATTGTGGCAACCTGTCACTACCAGCGTTGCTGAGAGCGGATAGCATTCTAGCTGTCATTGAGTCAGTCTGGATATTTCCTATTGTAGAGTGCGGGTCGCACCGAGTAACTAATAAATATTGTTTGTAAATATCTGCGTAATTGCGTGCAGTTGGTTTGTATTTATTGGGCTGTTTACAGGTCATTACAATTATATAATACATATGAATATATTCTATATTTATATGAATACATTATATAAATGAATATGTCATTTATGAATGTTTTAACTTTGGAAGGTATGAGGGAAGGTTGCTATTCAAACAATCTTAGCTAACTCGCCTAATATTTACCATTTTCTGTGTTCAAACTGTTTTATGCAAAAGGTGCAGTCCCAAACACAATTTTGGGAACTAGAACCAGAAACACTGGTTTGTATCTATTTGATCTTTGAGCATCTATGCTTTCCCGATACGAAAATCCTACTTCTTTGCCTTTTAAAGCGCGTCGCACGAACGTTTTTGGAGTTCTGACGGATAGCCATACATTGATATCCTCAATGAATAAAGCTATAAAAACAAGAAGCACTCTTCAACTTGGCCATTTGGAATACCTTCAACTTCTTTACAACCAAAGGGCAACGCAGGAACGTTTTGGCCTTTGACAAAACCTGCATAACACCACCTTGTGAAGGTTTAGTTTTCCACGGAACGGGTAGTTTTAATGCGTATTCATAAAACCTTCTACTATATCAACTGTTTTTTGTTCAATAAAAAGCAATCATGAAGCAGAGTTGTCCGCTTATGGATACAAAGCATTAGGATATTGACAGAAGTAGACATTAATGGACCTAGCTTTTAAATAAAATGCACTTTTTCAATTCAGTTCTGAAACAGTTAAAGTTCCGGGAGCCACAGACATTCAAGTGGGTTCTCGGGTGGATAAGATTTGGTCTACGGGTTAGTGTAACTCGTGGTAATTACTTCGCTCAATGTTGGGGAAACAGCGACTGAGCCGAAGAAAACCGTGACTTGACAGCCAAGAACTTCTGTTTCGACCAGATTAGGGGGTCAATCTCGACTTGACGTCAATCAATCATCGGCCGCTCGACGCCAGAGAAAAGAACTTTTTGGCGAAAGAGATGGCCAATTAGCATAAAATTCGTACGCCTCTGACCCGCGACCCGGTTCACTTTGACCCCGGGCGAACTTTGGCTAATAGAGCTGGCCGAAAGGGGGGACTTGGCTGGTAACGGGGGGGGCCAGGAGGGCGGGTGACAGCAATCGATCAGCCGGACGAGCTCCACAGGGCTATAAAATCCCGGGTCGGGCCATCAGTAGTCAGTCAGTTGTGAGTGCAAGCTCAGAGCCAACAAGTGAGCGAGGAACCGATCCCAGACCACTAGCAACCCCAGACCACCAGTAACCAGCAAAGCAACCAGCTCCCAGGAATCATCCGCAGAATGCACCGCCTGCTTCAGCTGACTCTGGCCGTGGCCCTCTGCGCCCTCCTGGCCCCCTCTTCTTCCCTGGGTGAGTTCAGCTCAGCACCACTGGCGGCCACCTCTTCCGCTCGGAGCACCCGTCTAACCGTCTAACCCCCCACCCACTCGCTCCCCCCATCCACAGCCGAGCGCCGCCATGTGTACCGCCTGGGCGGCCAGCGGTCCGCGGACGCGGCGGAGCCCCGCTTCACCTCCTCGATCGCCAACAAGCTGTCCTCGCTGAAGGGCACATCCACGACCACCACCGCCTCCACCACCGACTGCTGCTCACCGACCACCGCAACCACCACCACGACCTACTCCCCCACCGGGCCCACCACCTCCACGGGTACCTCGACCACCACCACCACGCCCACCACCTCAGACAGTTCCACCTCCACGGGGCGAGCCTTCGTCCCCGGCCAGGACGACCTCGAGCAGGACGAGGAGGAGGCGCCGCGCTCCTTCGAGGAGGACGACGACGAGGCCGCCAGCCTGGAGGACGACGACGACAGCGACGACGACGACGAGGAGAGCTTCTACGTGGCCGCCCCCGCCGGCGGCAGCAACGCGGTCCAGCAGTCCGCCGACTCCGCCAGCGTGGTCCGCCCCACGGAGCTGCAGTGGCGCCAGTTCCAGGCCGAGCGGCGCAACCGCCGCCGCGTGCAGCGGCTGCAGCGGGAGCACAACCAGCGCATCCGCGCCCTGCTGCGCCGTCAGCGGGCCGCCGAGAAGCGCAGCCAGCAGCGCCTGCGCCGCCAGCGCCAGCAGAGCCGCCGCCGCGGCACGCAGCGCCAGCGCCGCAACCGCAACCGCTCGAAGGCCCAGCGCCGCCGCCAGCGCCGCAACCAGCAGAACCGCCGCCGCAGGCAGCAGCAGCAGCGCCAGCGCAGGCAGCGCCAGCAGCAGCGCCGCCGCCTGATGCGCCTCCTGCGCCGCCGCCGCAACTGAGGAGCCTGATTCCAATCCCGATCGCGATTCCGATTTCGATTTCGAATAGATCCCAGCCGAGCCGAGACCCGAAATAAACTGAACTTGAATGCAAGAAACGTTTTTTTTTTAATTACTGCCTGCCTATAGGGAGATGGTGGGTAATCCTGGGATCGAAAACATATACATCGTGCGATCAGGAGAGAGAGCAGGAGCATCTCGCTGGCAGAGTTTGTGAGCCCTTAAGATGCACAGCGATCAAGCGAGGAAGGATTGGGCCAAGGTCTGCGAACCGCGACTTTGAGATCATTTTCGATACGAAGGAGTGGGGCTTCGCCATTGATCGGTAAGCGGTGGGAGTTCTCCGGACTTTATCAGGTCCGCAGCTATACTCCTCGCCCAAGATATCATGGTTTCCCATCTAGGGATAAGGAACACAGCACTGAAACCACTGAGCTGGGTTAAGTTATGCAGATCTGGGATGTAAGCGGGGCGGCACCTCTTCTGGCAAGATGTTTAAGAATGCTGGTGTACAAAATGAGTTTATATCGGAACTTTAACCTAGCAAATAATATAATGATGTCCTTTTATCCTATCGAGACTATACACCTGGAAATAACAAACTGGTGCAAGTACCCCGAAACAGGGTTCGGCCTGGGACTTTTCGTTACCGGAAAGTCTCGCCTTCTACATGTCGTCTTCGCAGAATCGCCGGTGGGGTCACTGCTTCAGTGGTTCATTGACACCGCGCCTCCACTTTCGCCCTTTGGCAGAAGAAGCTGCGACTCAAAATCGGAATCGGAATCAGAAACAGAATCAGAAACTATGAATATGCAAATGCCGCCGATTTGCGAGTTCTATGCAAATGATCGCCGATCGATCGAATGGCGGGGTTACGGGTCAGGTTGCCCATTCGATTATTTATGGCATTATGCAAAGCGCTTACATCGCGGCTCTCCGGCCTCTGGCCCTTTCTCCGTAGGCCTACAGCCCCAGCCAGCCAGCCTACACCTCTCTCCCACAGCTTACAGCTTACATCTCGATCTGCTCCCCGCGACCCGCCCTTCGCTGTAACCCCCTTCGACGAGGCATGTAAGGGCCTTGGTTACATATAAATATGCCGGCCCTCGACCTCAGAAGTCAGTCAAAGCAGCCCAGCCATCCAAGAGATACTCGGAGCCAGCCCAGCCAAAGGACACCAACTCGAGATGCATCTGATGAAGGGACTCCTGATCTTCGCCTGCCTGGCGGCCTTCGCCAGCGGTAGGTGTTCCCACTAAGCCAGTCACCCACTCACCCACTCACCCACTCAACCACTCATTCACTCAACCACTCATTCACTCCGCAGCCAAGGCGCAGAACTTCCAGGTCTTCGGCCGCCAAAGGGACGAGCCCGCCGCCCAAGGACGCCTCAGCGCCAGCCAGCTGACCGACATCCTCAACAGCCTGAAGGGCAGCAGCAGCTCCACCACGGCCGCCCCCACCACCACCACTGTGCCCAGCACTACCACGGTGACGACCTCGCCCACCGGGCCCACCACCTCGACGGGTACCTCCACCAGCACGACCACGCCCACCACCGCCTCACCAACCGGCACCACCTCCACCGGTCGCCAATTGCAGCCACTCGACGACGACGAGGAGGACGAGGAGGAGCCGCAGCAGGTGCAGCAGCACCGCTTCCAGCTGGAGGACGACGAGGAGGAGGAGGAGCAGCAGCTGGGCCACGCCGCGCGCTCGCAGGCCAGCCGCCGCCGCCAGGTGAACGCCCGCCGGCAGCGCCAGCGGCTGCAGCAGAAGTTCCGCCGCCGCCAGCAGCAGCAGCGCCGTCGCCGCCAGCAGCAGCAGCGCCGTCGCCGCCAGCAGCAGAAGCGTCGCCAGCAGCAGCGCCGCCGCCGCCAGCAGCAGCAGAAGCGCCGCCAGCGCCGCAACCGCCGCTCCAACATGCGCCTGGTGAGCCGCTTCCGGCAGAGCACCCCCAACCGGAACCGCGTCATCCGCATCGCCGCCTGAAGCGGGACCTCCAGCCGCTGCGGCACCTGGAGCACCCCAGCACCACCAACCAGTAGTGACCCCGAATAAAGAGCAATGACACAGTAGCCTCAGCGCCTTTCAGTCCGGCGGAGTGGGGAGTGGGGATTCCCCGGGGGAACGATCTCTGGGCCTTCGGGGAGCAGCCAGGAAACTCTGGGTTCACTGGGAGGAGTGCATATACCTTTCGATCCACCAAACTTGGCAGAGCTGAGGAACTCTGTTCTGCTTGGTTGCTTTAGATGCACATGTAGATAGGGCTCGTTACTTTGTGGGGAAGTGTTTGCAGATCGAGTTGGGGATCCAGGGGAAAACCTCTCTAAAGCTCTCGTGAAAATGAAAGTAGGAAAGCCTGACCCACATAAGTGGTTCTTCGTGGTAGAGAAGGCAGATTGGGTGGACAGGAAGTCACACTTTTCGTTCGAAAACATCGAACTGTCCAGACTGTCACAATTGGACAGTTGTATGGATGTGTAGAGTGAGTTACACGGACAGCCCGTTCCAACAGGCGAGTGACTAAGTAGCAAGCCTTGTTTGAACCGCTTTGGAGCCGGGGCTTATCAATCAGCCGCTAACTGTTTCGAATCCCAACGCGAACTTCAACCGAAAAGTGTCGCATGGGTCAAACTAGTTCAACGATCGCCGCTCGGCGGTCAGCGAAATTTATGCAAAACTTTGGCGAATGTGCAAATTTGCGAAAAAGAAATGATAATGAGAATTATGGGCGCTGATTCTGGGCCGAGTTGTTGCTAGATCGGCCACTGGAGCGCCGGCTATATAACCCCGGTTTGCCGCTGGCATAGTCACAGTCCACCGGCGACCTTCCCCCAGGCACACCCCAGTCCATTCCAGAGCACCCAGCTCCAGATTCGAGATCCCAGCCCAAAAGGAAGCCCCCCGCAACCCCCACGATGAAGTTCTTCTACGGCGCTCTGCTGGTGCTGGGCACAGCCATCATTGCCCAGGCGGCCGGTGAGTTCTGATTTGTGATTTGTGAGGAGCAGCTAACGCGATTGCTTCTCGAGTTGGAACGGTAGATCCACTTTGTAACGAAGATGTGCCGTTCCAACCACGCCCGTCCTGGGAAGTAGAAGCGCCCTCGCTGTCCCCACCCCCATCCCTGCCCCACTCAACTCACTCAACCCACTTAACTCATCCTTCCCACCCACAGTGGCCCGCTCTAGCGAATCCAACGAAGCCCCACAGGAGTCCGCCCAGCAGACCAAGTACCGCCTGTTCAAGCAGCCCGTGCAGATCGAGGCGCGCAACCTGCAGCAGCTCCTGGCGCTGAAGCAGCCCTCCTCCTGCCCGCCGACCACCTCGGGCACCTCGAGCCCGATCACAACCACGTCGATAATCGAGCCGACGGCACCGACCACCACCGTGACCACCGTGACCACCACGCCCTCGGTCACCACCAGCTCAGACGCGGCTCGCGGCTTCGCGAACAACGAGGACGAGGAGGACGACGAGGAGTTCTACCAGGAGGAGGAGAAGTACCTCAAGGAGCAGGACGACGAGCAGGAGGACGAGCAGGCGGACGCGGACGGCGATGACGAGCCCTTCCAGCTGGTGGCTCCCAAGCGCTCCGGCTCCGGCTCCGACTCCCTGCGCCGCCGCGCCTCCGGCGGCAACCTCTCCAACAACGACCTGATCCGCGAGATCGAGCTGCGCCGCCAGAAGGACATCAACGAGCAGCTGCGCAAGGAGCTCTCCGCCGCCCGCCGCCGCCTCACCCAGAACCGCCGCCGGGCCACCAACAACCGCCGCCGCCTGCGCCGCCAGCAGCAGCAGCAGCGCCGCCGCCTCTCGCGCCGCAACCAGCAGCAGCGCCGCACCCAGCAGCAGCGCCACCAGAACGCCCGCCGCCGCCTGCAGCGCAACAACCGCCTCAACCGCCTGCGCCAGCGCCGCCGCGCCAACCGCCGACGCAACTGAGCACGACCCGCCGACCGCTGACCGTGACCCCTGACCTGTAGCCCACTGGTTTCAATAAAGCGAGAATCTCCCACTTATCCCCGACTGCTCCTCCTTGCTTTGCTCCTCCTTGCTTTGCTTCTCTCTTGGCGCCGAAAGCTACTTCCCTGGGAAGTAGTTCGGGACTACTGCTGCCACTTCGATCTCCCTTCTCCCCTTCCGAGCCAGCTGCCCAGCGAAGCCACCGGCACCTTGGCCGGTTCTGCCGATACCTGAGCCACATAGAACGATGCTAGAATGTGCTAAAACTCAGATAGTGGTATCGTTATTGAAGCACACCCACAGCTGTTGTCCCATCATAGAATTTCTGTGCTGGGCAGGATAGGTGCTCCACCTTGATCAGAGTCGGTCCAAAATATCTAGTAAGGAACTAGTAAGAGCAACCCCACTGACTTCCCCTCGGCTCGCGGCTCAAGAAGGTCGAGTCCATGCGAACTGGCCATTCGATACAACTTGTTTCAAGAGTGGAAACCACTGCAGAACGAGGAATGGGGGTGCCGTTGGGTGTGGAGTCGCCAACTCCTCAGCGAGACTTACTGCACGCTGAACTGGTGTTTATCATATCGAAAGACACACACATTTGAACGGCGTTGTGGGCCACTTTCGCAGGCTGGGGCCGTACGAGCGGCTTCGATTAGAAATCAATTTCAATGGTTTTCACTTTTTTCCACCCCGCTTTCGATGGCCCAAGGCGCTTCAGAAGTCAGAAGTCAGCGGGCAGCAGGCAGAAGGCAAAGCCGCACAGAAAGCGCGAGCCCAAAGGCGCTACGCTCGGCCGAAAGCCATGGGATGACCGGCAGAACCCGGCCGGCGAAGATGACGGCCAGAATACACATACATGTACAATATAGCTGGCAGCGATTCGCGACCCGCGAGCGCCGACCAATTGAATATCAATTGTGTACACAGATTTACCGTTCGCACTTGCGCCCATTGCCCATTTGCTCGTTTGCATTCCACAGCGGCCCGCCAGTCCCCAGCGGACTATAAAAACCCCCAGCCGGACCGGTGGAGTATCAGAGCCTGATTGTCCAGCCAGCGGCGAGCAGCGCACCCAGCCAAGTCAACCGGTCCACCGAAAAGTTCTCCGAGCACCGAGCACCGAGCAGTTCCCAGCCGAGTAGTTTCCAGCGACCAGCAGACCCACCATGAAGCTCTACGCCCTCGCCATCCCCACGATCCTTGCCTGCTGCCTCCCTGGCCGCTCAGGCGGCGCCCGAGAAGAAGGGCGGCCTCAAGGCCCGCCCACTCGTGGAGCAGCCGGATGCCAAGGCGGGAGTGGGAGTGGGCGTGGCCATGGCAGGCGGTTCGGGAGCCAGCGCCGCCGCAGGAGCAGCCAGCAAGGACCCCTCCAGCGGTCGGCTCTTCCTCAAGAAGTTCCTCACGTTCAAGAACCTGTTCAGCAGCAACAACCAGCCGGTGATCCCGATCATCATCACTGGAGCGGGAACCGGTACCACCACCGGCACCACCAGCCCGACTTCGCCCACGGTAACGGTGACCTCGACGGGCACAATACCCACGGCGACGGGCACGATCACCACCTCGCCAACGACGCCCACGACGTCGCCTACAACGACTGCCCGCCAGACGGTAGTGAAGGGCGCCCGCTACGGCAACGACGACCAGGAGCAGGAGCAGGACCTGGAGCAGGACCAGGAGCAGGCCGACGACCAGGAGCGGGAGCAGGAGGCCGAGAGGGAGCCGGAGCAGGCCCAGCTGGCCGCCCAGGCCTACCCCGCCGAGCTGATGGACGAGCAGGCGCTGCAGGCCGCGCTGGCCGCCGGCGCCCAGGAGTACGAGGTGGTCACCGAGCCGGAGCTGCAGGGCACCGGGGGCGCCGGCGAGAGCAAGGCCCAGCAGGGCGGCAGCCGCATCAGCCTGCGCCGCAAGGGCGCCCGCCGCGGCCAGGTGATCAGCGTGCGCATCCCGCCGCGCTACCGCCGCTACTTCAAGAACGGCCAGAAGGTCATGCTCAACACCGGCAGCCGGCCTTCCACGAAGCGGCGCGTGGTGCGCAAGCGCGTGCCCGCCAAGAAGATCAAGAAGAACCGCAACAACAACCGGCGGCGCAACGGCAACAAGAAGAACCGCCGCAACCGCAACAAGAACCGCCGCACCCGCATCGCCGCCGTCTGAGCAGCCGGAGGACGGAGGACGGAGAACCCGAACCCGAACCCGAGCCGAGGGCACTGCGAGCCCGCTCCAGCGCCCCGGCGAAAGCATTTTTTTTCTAATTTATTGTAGCCTAAATCGGGACCGCCACACTTCCTGCGGCAGGATCCACCCCAATAAAGCCTTTCAGAAGTACTTCAAATGACCTTTGACTCCCGAGCACTTTGAATAAGCTCTGCACACTTAGCAATATAACTTTAATCCGATTTTGAAGCGGCATACCTCCTAAAGTTTGCTGCTTAAGGGGCACAACTAGTGTGACGGCCTAAAAAAGGTGATTTTGGGAATTTTTATTTAAAAAAAAAAATCAATTATTTCAAAATTTTCAAAACATATTTATACATGTTTTAAGAATATACAGTGAAATTTTTAAAGAAAAAAATTAAATATTTTTTAAGTTAGAGTCGATCTCCAACGGCGCCAACAAAGAAGGGCCTTAACTGCTGCAGTGATTCCGGCCCTCTCCGTGGATGAAATCAAAAAATGAAAAATTCTCGTTAAACTACTATAAAAAATATACCCAAAATTGACAAAATAGCGGCGAAAAAAAAATCGAATTTTACCCAAAATTTTGGTCGTTTTTGGCCTGCCAAAATTCGATTTTATTCAGATCAAAAAATCGATAGTTTATTGTACGGAGAACTATATATAGAACATGTAAAAAAAATTGATAGTGATCGGATCATAAGTTTTTGAGTAATCAAAATTTAATTATGTTATTTTTAAAGGTGTAATCTACCGAAATATTAAAAAAAATATTGATTTTTTTAGGAACTTCACACTAGTTGTGCCCCTTAATTCTCTAACCAACTACATCATTAGTTGATTTTCTATTTTTTTTGTCAATTTGTTGTTGATTGTTGATTTTTATGATGGGTTTGCAAAAAAGTGCACAAGTGCAAGTGTCTGAACCCTTTCAAGCCCAACTATTACAATTCGAGGGAAGCAATGAATCAAAAAAATTAATCCGAAAGTCCTTTTCATGTAAAGGAAATAAAAATAGGAAACCCAAATGTGTCTACTGCAGATACTTCTCTGCTATTCCAGGTCTCACATGAAGTTTTGAAAATTGTGTTTAGGTTGGGTTTACTCATCTACCGCAGATCCGAAGATCGGCGATCGTTGATCCCCAGAACAATTGCCGCTCTGCGATGCGTGGCCAATCTCCTTCTAGGGCACAGTATTCCAGCCAAGAAGTGTCTAGAAGTGCGCACTTGACCCACATTTCTGGGCCGAGATCTCCGAGAGAGATCAGATCGTGACGGATGACGGATGATGGGGCACATTTCGGGTATTTAAGCGGCTGTCGGTTTAGCCCCAGGCGGAATTCAATCATGGACGCTCAATCACTGCGATTGCTGCTGCTGATCGCTTCGATCTTGGCCATCTCGCCTTCGGAGACCTCGGCCAGGGGCTGCGGGTCCGGGCTCCAGGTGCGGGCCCAAAGCGAGCCCCTGGATCTCAGTCGGCTGAGTGAGAAGCAGCTGCACCAGCTCGTCCAGCAGCTGGAGAAGCTTCAGACCCACAAATACGATGACGGCGATCTCGAGGACGAGGATGAGAAGAACCAGGATCGCGATGGGGGTCAGAACCAGGATCAGGATCAGGATCTGGACCTGGCGGAGCCCGAGGACGATCACCGGGGCAGCAGTCGTCCGTGGAACAGAGTTCAGCGGATTATCCGGCGGCAGTTGGTGAAGATTCCCAGCAGGTACCTGCGAAGGCTGCTCAGGCAGTTCGGCCTGGCCAGAAGCCTCGCCTCCAGCAGGGTCTCCAGTGCGGAGCTTGTGCCGCAGCTGGAGGAGTACTACCTGATACCCCTCGAGTGAAATAAAGAGCCCGTTGCGATAACCACAACCACGTCTCCCGCAAAATCGTTAAGACCTGCATACCACTAGGCACTCTTCTCTGGCAGATAAAGTGCTGCTAGAGAGCGCCTAAAGATATGCTGGAAATTCTTGAATTTCGAACATGCCCCAACAGAGCTTTCCACCACCTCGTATTCTGATTGCACGGCTAATCAGCTCCAAAACAGCTGTTGGCGATAAGTTTTGGTTTTTGTTATTCAGTCAACGGGTGGGATCTCCGTCATTAGCGGACCAGGTTATTAGCAGACTCAGACTTTGCCCAGAATGTCAGCGGGAGCACTTGCGGGAAAAGTGGCCCTGGTAACAGGTGAGTGGGTGTGGCCCTAACCAGCCAACCAGCCAACTAGCCAACCAACCAGCGAACAGTGTAACCAAGGGCCATGCGTGTTTGTTTTCAGGCGCCGGCTCCGGCATCGGCCGGGCCACCTGCCGCCTCCTGGCCAGAGATGGGGCCAAGGTGATCGCCGTAGACCGCGACTTGCGGGCCGCCGAGGAGACCGTGCGGGAGTGCGGCCCGGAGCGCTCCGCCGCCCTGGAGGTGGACGTCTCCTCGGCCCAGAGTGTGCGCTCCTCGGTGGGCGCGGCACTGGCGAAGTTCGGCCAGGCGCCGACCATCGTGGTGAACTCGGCGGGGATCACGCGCGACGGCTACCTGCTGAAGATGCCCGAGAGGGACTACGACGACGTCTACGGGGTGAACCTGAAGGGCACCTTCCTGGTGACGCAGGCCTTCGCCAAGGCCATGATCGAGCAGCAGCTGGAAGGCGGCAGCGTGGTCAACCTCTCGAGCATCGTGGCCCGGATGAACAACGTGGGCCAGGCCAACTACGCGGCCACCAAGGCCGGGGTGATCTCCTTCACGGAGGTGGCCTCCAAGGAGTTCGGCAAGTTCGGCATCCGGGTGAACTGCATCCTGCCGGGCTACATAGACACGCCGATGGTGGCCGTCGTCCCCGACTCCGTGAAGCAGCAGGTGATCCAGCGCTGTCCGCTGGGCAGGCTGGGCCAGCCGGAGGAGATCGCCGAGGTCGTCGCCTTCCTGGCCTCCCCGCAGTCCTCCTACGTCAACGGAGCCGCCATCGAGGTCACCGGGGGCCTCAAGTGAGTCGAAGGCCGCCCCGCCCTCTTGCGTAGCACCCAACCAGAAATATAGGGCACCAGAGCATTGCATTTAATGGCCCGTCTTCTGATTTCCCAAAGTTCCTAAATATATGAGACGCGGCTTGAGCAGATGTTTTGTTGATAGCTTCGATAGCTGGGTTCCACATGATTTGTGCAAACAAGCTCCCCAGACTTTGACCCATTCTGGGGTACTGGCAACCGCGCCATCTACTATATGTGCGATCTTCACGGGAAGAGCTTTCGGTCTATCGAGTCTATCGTTCATTTGGAATGGGCTACCGTCTCACAAAAGCAGACAAACTCACCACGAAGCACATGAATATGAGTATTTAAATGCACAGCCGAAGCTCAGATAATCGCAGGGTTTCGTTTCCCCAGGCAGCCAATAAATATGCCTTGAAATCTGAACCTGACCCAGTGAAACAGGCCCAAAAAGTAGGCAAGAACCGATTGATTTGTACACCGCCAGCTGACGGGATAGACTCCCCTTCGATCAAAGCTAGTGCTCCACTGGGACTTCGGGAGTGGGATCCCAATTGAAGTCTCCCGCTTGACCACAAAGGACCACCGAAGTGGGGAACGGAATGTGCGAGCCGGCTCGTTGTGGTTTATCAACGGGGCTTCGGGTGGGTCCCGGACCCACCGAAATGTACAATATTAATATATTTCACAATTCCCCAGCTGCTAATTAACTCGGCGCACACACACACACACACACACACACCGACGCACGGGGAGATATGTGCGCGTCAGGCGACACACACATGTGTGTCAGTGGTGGTGCGGGGGTGGTGCAGGGGGTGGTTGGGCCGGGTCTCCGCCTCTGCGGTCGTGCGTGCAATTTAAATAATGAAGACATTTTATTAATTCAAGAAATTCAGCTCTCCTACTCCGGCCACGCACACTCCGACAAAGGCGCCCACACAGCACTCACACAGAGCGGCAATTACAGTGGCCACCCGACATTAAGCAACCTCCGACCATCAACACCACCGCACCGCACCGCACAAGGGCACACAAAACTAGCCGGGCAACCTGGGGTTGGGGGTTGGGGAGTTGGGTCGCCGGGCGGCCGAACCACCCAACAGTCCACCCAACGAACCACCCAACGATCCACCAGCTGCTAGCTGGTGCGTTTCCCACTTCCCTTGGCTTTGCTGCATAGCGAAAAACAAAACATTTGCTAATCATATGAAGCGACCCTGAGCTGCCTCTCTTCCCTGCACTCGAAAAAACTAGATGTGCCTGTCATGGCTGAAAATCATGCCCACTGCCCTCAGTGCAACCCGAACCTACTACTTGCAAACTTCGGCAGTTATAGCAGTTATTCGAGGACGACGTACTTCGGCAGGAATGGGTGTCCCCCATTTCTCTGAGTGCATCCGTCCTGTCCACCTGTCCCTGTCGCTCTTCGGCCACTCTCTTTGTAGCAATTAACAACACAGTCCGACACAAGCGGCGACGACAAGCCAACACTTGAGCCATAAACCAGCCCAACACGACCCCGGAACGAACGACCCCAAGAACCCGACCCCGGATATTGCCCCAAAAGCTGTCCCCAAAAGCCCGACTTCGGGCGACCAGCGCTTTGCCACTTGCCATATCTCATGTTAATGAAATCGTAACTCTTCGAGCGCCTCGTGTCCGTTTTTTGTGCCATCTCCAGTCCAGCACCCCTTCTCCCCCTCTCCCCACCCACAAAAAAAGGCTCCCAAACAGGAGTCGAGGGAACCCAAGAGGATGTTGGGTGATTAACGCGGGGGAAAACTCCGCTCAGCCCTACGGAGAATGGGAGTTTCGTCGGGGGAGTCGGCAGCGCAAAAGGTGCCACACGATTTCGCCAATTGTCAGCGAGTGCTTGAGAAAGGGAGTTATTTTCGAACCTCTCAAGTGGATACAAGGTACAGAATATAAGTATAAGGTCGTACATTACACATGAAAGGGCAATAGGGACACGAAAATAATTGCGAATTATCGAACAAAGTATTTCCCGCTTAAATAGAAATGTATTTTTACTTAACATGGATTGCTGGCCTCCATAAATGTTATTAGGATATTATCCCAATTTCCCACAGAACTTGCAATGAAATATAATCGAGTTTCAGAAACACGAGGGCTGCTCTGTTACAAACACTGCCCAGAGGAGCCCTTACCAATGCCAGTTGTTCCGGCTCCACTTTCACCGGTCTGTTGACATTTGCCGACTCACGTTAGTTTCAGTTTCGAAAGTTCCCGCTTCGCTTTTCCCAATGAAAAAGCGCTAATTAACACAGCCAACCGCACTTGCAACTTCCTTCTGGCTAAGTGCACGTATGCCCGAGCCACCCCAGAGCCATAGCTCCACTGCCCCACCATCCAGCTATCCAGCCATCCGGCCATCTAATCCACCCACTCAGCCACCCTCTGCACTCTGCACCACCAGCACCACCCCGTCCCAGGAAGCCACGTGTGACAGCGAGGGTCGTTCGGTGACAAAGGGCAACTAATTTAGTTTAATGGGCGTCGTGCGCGACTTTGTTGCCCACAGCCGCAGAATTTCTTGCGGCCAACACTTGCCTCAAGGGGCGGCGAAAAGGGGCGGCATGTGGGAAGGGGGAGGTGGGAGGAGGGGGTGAGCGGGTGGATTGGCGGCTTGGTGGATTGCTGAATTGGTGGGTGGCGGGTCACCCCTACGCACTCTCATTAAGTATTTTTGGTCGAGCTTAGAGCGAGCCGTTTGTTTGCACTGTCAACTCAACAACTCTGGCACACTGCACTGCGAGAAAGCGAGGGGCCACAAAAGAGTACGAAATATTTGTTCCACACTTACCCGGCTTTTTTGCAAATAAACGTATTTTCTTGAAAATTGCAAGCAAACGTATTTTTCTTGAAAATTGCAAGCAAACGTATTCTTTCTTGAAAATTGCAAGTAAACGTATTCTTTCTTGAAAATTGCAAATAAACGTATTCTTTTCCTGCAATTTAAACGGAAAATAAATCAACGGATATCAAAAACACTGCATTTCATCAGGCACCAAAATAACCAAGGTCTTGAGAAATCGAACTAAGCATTAGCTAATTAATTTGTTCAATACTACGGCTTTAGCCAAATAATTGGCTCTGGCTCACATTTTCGTTTAATTCATTTGTGGCCTAAAGATTTTGAAAATATTTGTGAAGAATTTTAGGAAGGTTGTCTCTTTAACTTGAGTTTCAGTTTAATATTATTATTGTTTACTTGAGTTAGCAACTTGGTTTTCTGTGGATGGTTGTTTTCTTGCCAGTGCCAAATGACTTACTTATTCGTGAAATGCAGGTCATTCTGAGATACTCAATTGCATACCACCCACCTCTTGCACCGCTGATTCCGCTTCAAAGTTCAACTTCACTTCTTCCGCCCATTTAATGCGATTTTTGTCAGTGCAGAAACGCCAACTCCGAGGCGACTTTCCATAAATTAACACACATGACTAGCGGCGACGGTGGTGGAACGTTTTCATTCCACTTTTGTTTGTTTGATTTTTGGCTTTTTGCAGCTAGCTGACAGTTGGTCCTGCGACCTGGGCAAATTAAAAATGTTTTTTGCCATTCGTGTTTGTCCTTGGTCTTTGATGTCCAACTCCCAGTTCGCTCCGCCTCGTTTTCGTTTCTTTTTTCAATACATTTTTATTCTGTTTTTATCGTGTTTAACTTTGTGTGTGTTTCAATGCTGCTTATTTGCCTTTATCATTCGCGTTTCGTAAACAGAAACATTTGTTGGCTCCGCGCTTAATTGGCGAACTGATAAATGCCCGCAGCTAGTAAATTTAGCAAAAGAAGGAGTAATGTTACTTTTCTGGGAGTCCTTACATGAAATACGCTCACTTATCAAAATATAATGCTTAGGGCTATGAAAAAAAATGCATGTTTGTATATATATATGTATATATCTAGAGCTAGGTCTACTCTTTAAATATGCGTGTGTATCTTTAGTTAGACTATAACTAGGATATAAGACCATTATACACTTAGAAGTACACTTAGCACAATTGAACTGACGAATTGAATACGTTTACGCTCCGCTCTTCCATTTTTTTTTGTTTTTCTTATTTTTTTTTGTTTTTTATAGGCGTTCGAGATGCATGGGCGTGTCATAAGTTAAGGCGACTGTCAAGATCTAGCTTCTATATTCATTAGTTATGTAAAAGGTAGTGCTACACGATGCAGAAGAAGTTTATGGGGGTGGTTCCGATCCGAAAGCGGTTCCACCCCGACTTAAATACTATCAGGTACTTTGGCATTTCGTTGGCTTACTCGCTACCATTCAACTGAATGTCTTTATGCTTGTATATCGATTCATTAACATTTAGCATATACTACGTTGTGTATAAATAAAAGAACTCTCTCTTTCCATCTTCTACTCTTGCCAGTTTTTCAGCGATAATTATGAAAGGCTTTCGAGTTACCAATAAATGAATAGAACATTAAAATAAATAAGTTAGGTAAGAAAAGAAAGAGTAGACAGGGTTAAATGGGGTTCTTGGTTGGATAAGACAAAAAAGAAATAGTGTAGATACAGAGAAAAATAAAAAGAGAGCTGAAAACATGTTCGCACTTCGTTGTTCCCTCGCAAAACTGTTAAACTAGCAATCAGTTAATCAGTTAATCAGTTAATCATTTAACCAGTTAATCAGTTAACCAGTTAACCACTAAATTAAGGCGTTTTCCTAGCAAGCGGTACACTCTCTAATCTGTTCTGCAAATGCCTAACACTCAATCTTTGAAGCTTAGTCTCTTTCTAGTCGAACTGCGAAATAGTCTACTGTACGTATTCTATACTAAGGACAAAAACCGAAAGAATTAACCCTAGTTCTAAGGACTGAAGAAGTATTAACGCTAGGACTAAGGTCTACGTGATCAGATGTGTGAGTACCTAGAGTGCTTAAGCCTAAGCAATTCGAATTTTTGGTAGCTGAAAAAACGCACCGCCAACAGGGACGCCCCCTACAGCGTTCCTCTTGAGATCAGTCTTGGCGTGGCTTGGTGGCTCCTTGGTGGCTGCTGGCTGGTGGTTGGTGGCTGGTGGTTGGTGGTTGGTGGCCTACACTGCGGTGGGCGGCGGCAGCAGCGAGGAGTTGGAGGAGCGCAGGTAGGGGTTGCCGTAGATGGCGCTGTAGCGCGGGTCCACGCTCAGGGCCATCGAGCTGGGCACCACCACGTGGTGGCTGCCGGCGGTGGTGGTGGCAGCGGAGACGGAGGCAGAGGCGGCGGCGGCGGTGCTCTGGTTGCTGCAGCTGCCGTTGGGCGAGGAGCTCACCACCGAGGCGGTGGTCGACTGCAGGCTGGGCAGGCCGTTCTCCTGCCGGATCTCCCTGGAGCCGATGATGCTGCCGGTCAGGCTGCCCCCGCTGCTGTTGCTCAGGAAGGTCATCGGCAGGCTCTGCGCGTTGGACTGGCCGGCCTGGTGGTGGTGCTGCTGGTGGTGGTGGTGGTGCTGCTGCTGCTGGTGCTGCTGCTGCTGCAGCTGCAGCTGGTTCTGGTGGTTGTTCTGCAGGATGGTCGAGCTGCCGTTCGACTTGGTCGAGCAGGTGGTCAGGTATTGCGGGGGCGGACTGTAGTGCGTGCTGTAGTCGCCGTAGGGCACGTAGCCGCCCGAGATGTCCACCTTGAGGTCGCTGTAGTTGGAGGTGCGGTCGCCGGGCTCCAGCTTGCAGCTCACCCCGCCGTTCTTGGTGATCTGGTGCTCGCTGATCACGTCCGCCGGCGGCAGCTTGGTGCGCTTCTTGCACTTGATGTACACCACGACCAGGATGGTCAGCACCAGCAGGAAGGCCACCACCGAGATGCCGCCCACGATGGTCATCAGCAGGGAGACGCTCTCTGCGGAAGGCACAAGCAAACGGGCGATGGACACCGCGGTTAGGTACAACGGAGGATAGAAACCGAAAGCATCTACTGGGGATTGGCACGAGAAAGGTGACCCCGCGACCGACAATGGAGTCCAGTCAGGGGTTAGGGGCATGCATTCTACAGCTACAGCTATCTAAGATCCGATACTCACTCTTGGCCTGCAGCTGGATCTCGGCGACGTCGTTGCCGTAGTCGTTGACCACCGTGCAGTTGTACTTGCCGTAGTGGTAGGCCTGGCTGTCCCGGATGATGAGCGTGCTCTTGACGCCGCCGGGCACCGCGTCCACCAAGATGGAGTAGTCGTGGCCGGACTCCGCGCTGATCTCCCCTGCCCGTTGAAGGTCCACGAGACGTGGCGGGCCCGCGGCACGCTGCTGGCGAAGCACTCGATGCGGGCCGTGTCGCCCACCAGGCCGAACTGGGTCCTCTGCGAGCCGATGGCCGGCGAGCCCTTCAGGTAGACGAAGGCGTCCGCCGAGATCTCCGCGTAGCCGGGCACGCTGGCCTTGCAGTAGTACCGGCCCGCCGTCTCGTTGCTCACGCTGAAGGTGAGGTTCGTGCTGGTGCCCACCACGCGGTCGCTGGGGTGCTGGATCCACACGATCTCCGCCGGCGGGTTGCTGTCCACCTCGCAGTTCAGGGACACCACGCTGCCCACGTCCGCCTCCGTCGACTGGGGCCGCTGCCGGAAGCTGGGGGCATCTGGGGGCGGGAGTCGAAGTTCCGTGTTAGCCATCTTATCGGATCCAACAAGAGGGATCAGGTCCCAACTTAATATTAAGGGAATACAACTTGCTTTAAACTACTTCTCGTATTTATTTCGATTTACTGCGCTCGTTTAACTGCATAAGTAGCTCAACGCTTTAGTTGTTGGGGAAAACGTTTGACATTATAGCAAAAACAATCACTAAAAGTATATTTACCTACTAATTAGATGCAAAAGGGGCGGGTTTATCATGTATCTAATAAATTATTCAACAAAAACACGCGATAAAACGTATTTAGCCTAGGGACTCTCCAATTTACACAGTATTCCAATTCGAAATATTCGATTTTCCCCCGATGCCAACGACGTTAAAAAAACAGTAATTTGATTTGGCCAATAATTCGGTGCCCAAAGCTACATGGCTGCCGCTGACTTATGAAAATCTACAACTGTAGGTGTCAGTAATTTAAACGAGGTCCACCAATATTTGTTAATTGATATCAGCGATTGTTCCGCAATAAAATTCGAGTGGCAAAATACGAGTGGAGTGACAACCGCAGTTGTCAGTTATCAGGATTACTTACAGCTTATATCGAGGGTCTCGCTGTCCTCGCTCTTGCCAACGGAATTCTGGACCTCGCACTTGACAATCGCGTCGTGGAACTTGCGCGTCACATTGCGGATCACCTGCAAGGAGGGAGAAGGAGAAGGAGGAGGAGGAGGGTCAGCCATGAGTTCCAGTTGTGGTTAATGGTGGGAACGTTAGGCCTTTCCGGTGGCGATCCAACTGGTCTCCATAATTGCTGGCATTGTGCAACGGCCGGGCAGCATTTTAATCGCAATAGTTGCTTCAATTATGCGCCGGCCTGCCAGGTGGAATGTGAACCAGTTCCAGGAGGAAATCTCGGGGGAAAGGCCTCGGGTTTCGCCAGGCGGAGAGGCTGGGGCAAAACGGGAGGGGGAGTGGCACTTACCATCTCGGTCTTCTGGCCGCCGATGATCGGCTCGTCGTTTATGAACCAGCGGTAGCGCACGTCGCTGGGATTCGCGTCTGCGCGGCACTCCAATCGCACCAGCGAGTGCTCCACAATCCGGGAGCCCGCCGAATGGGCCCCTCCTGCACCACCGGCCAGTGCAGCTGCACCGCCGGGCAGGGTGCCGATCACGTTCACCTTCACCTTGGGCGCGTACTTCACCTGAAAGCAGAGGAGTGGAGGATCTCAACCCATGTTCGACGACATATTTGCATTTGGGGGTATTTTAGCTGGGAAACTCGGGAGCGGGAGCAGGAGCTGCTGCATCGTTGCTGTCCTCGCAAAGCCCATTTACTGGCCACTCACTCAGCCCCATTAGCAGGCAATCCTGGCAGCGCTGGCAGCCCTGGCACCTCCTGGACCGACATCTTCGTCAGGATTTGTCAGCGCACGGACATGCGACGTCCCCCCATTTCCCTACTCCCCCATTTCCCAGACGTCACCCGAAAACCAGGCCAACGACATGTGGGCTGAAGTCAGGTCATTGTTGGCTCCTCGCCTTCGCACCTCGCACCCCCGGCGAAGAAGCGAGCGAGCCCCTTCCGCCACGTCCGGGCATGAATTAGCCCGTCAGTGTCGAGCCATGTCCATCCACAAAAGGCCATTCAAAAATGCTATCCCCTGGCTTGCGGCTGTCCCCTTGTCGCCGGGAACGAAGGGAGCCCCAACAACACACCCCTCTGGCCATTCGAACGGGAGATAAGGGACTCTGCCTGCGGCACCAGAGTGCACTCGAAGAGACGGAGGAGCCTTGCCAAATACACTGCACTGCTGAGCACGTTGGGAGCTAACCATTTCGATTTGAAACAAGGGATTCAGGGGAACCCCACCCCGGGTTTCGCCGAGTGCAGGCCTGCAATGAGCTGTCAGCAGGACGACCCGACGCGTTGGGTTGCCGGCTCCCCCGCCGGAGGCCTACTCACCTCGACACGTATTTTCGCCGAGCGATAGGTGCGGTCCGCCGTATTCTGCGCCTGGCAGGTGAAGTTCGTGTTGTGGTGCTCCTTTTTGGGGGTCAGCCGCAGGACGGACTTGGCCGTAAAGCGCCGCAGATCGGGCAGCGGGATGACCGTGTACTCGATGTTGTCCGTGAGCACGTTCCCGAGGCCATCAATCCAGGTTATCTGCGGGCGAGAAGAATGAGGATGGCACCGATTGTGGTTCATTGTTGTCTCGATTGCTGCCACACAGTGGCCACGGATACGTCCGTCAGAGGGGGAACACTCACCTCGGCAGCCGGCTTGCCGCCAACGGAGACGCACTCGATCTCGACCTTGCGGTCCTCGGTGGCGAAGATGGCCTCGCCCTGCGTGATCTTGGGCGCCTCGGGCGGCACGAGCACCGTGAGGGCGGCGAAGGAGGACCGGATGGCCGGCTGGGCCTCGGGGCCCGGGCTCACTTGGCACTGGTAGCGCGCGTCGTCGTCGAGCATCACGGGGTAGATGTCCAGCGAGTAGTCGCCCTCCTCGTCGCTGCCCACCATCGCGTACCGCTCGAAGCCGCTCAGGTCGCGGGAGGTGCCCAGTCCGAAGTCGTCCTTGGTCCACTGGAGCGTTCCCTGCTTGTTCACCACGCGGCAGGGCAGTGTCACCCTGGCCCCCACCACCGCCGTCTGGTCCTGCGGCTCCATGGCGAACCGCTGGTTCTGGTAGCTCGTGTAGGGCGAGGGCGAGCTCCTGGCCACCCCGACGACTGCGGCCAGCAGGAGCAGCTGTAGTTGGTGCATCATGGTGCTGGAAGGAGGGAGAAGAGAGACTGGGTTAGTTCGCTGCTCTTGGGAGGCGACCCCCTCTTAAAACTACCGGTAGGAGACTCCGAAGTGTAACCCCACATCAAGTCCTTCGACTGACTGCGATTTGAGGATTGGGTGCAACAAGCGGGGGGGACGGGGAGGGAAACCGGATTCGATCCAAGCTCGGGAAAACCTTGGACAGGCGCCAGCCAATACAACAATGGAGCCCCGACAAAATTGTCTTTTCTTCTTGTTCACACATGTATCTATTTGTTTATTTGTTGTGCTTTTTATGATTGTTTTGCTTTGTTGCGTTTTCGGGTTTGTTTTTTATCGCGTTTCGCGTTTCGCGTTTTGTTGAACAAATTTTTTGAGGGGCACAATTGCCTCAGGGTCTTATTACTTATTATTGTTCGTTTATGGTTTGCCGTTGGCGCGCGTATTTTTTTGTTTTGTACTCGTACTCGTACCCATTTTATTTTCATTCGCATTTTATTCGGTTTTATTCATGTTTCCCAAGTGCAGACAGCAGTACAGCAGTACGTGAGCCCCGAAAGCGAATTACATTCAAATTAGTCGAAGGGTGGAGCACCGAAGGGGCCGCCGCAGAAAGGCTTAAGCAGTGGGGCAATCCCGCAGCTCTCGACAAGCGGACGAGTGTGCGGAGGTCTTGCAAAATATTCAGCAGTGTCGGGGCAATTATTTAAAACGGATAAGTAAACACTAAAACTGCAGAAGAACGAGAGGACACAGTTGAAATGAATACATAAGCTTCTTCGAAGACCATCAAAGATCTTAACTCTTTGCCCTGGAAGAATTCCTCGTGCTAACCACTCAATCGCAGACACCGAGTCTCCATCCCCACTTCCCCTTCCACTTCCACTTCGAGTTGCGTTTGAGGTGATTTGCTTAATAAATTGCAGCTACAATATATGGAGCTCAATCTGGGCTCCAAGTGCTAAACTACACTCTTTTCACTTTTCACCTTCCGCTCACCGCCTTTCCGCTTCTCCACCTTCGCTTCCCAGCCATTTTCCAGCTCGACGTACAGGTGCCGGCTGCCTTGGAATTTTCTCACGCACTTTTCCCAGTAGTTGCCCACTTTTTTACTGCTTCTCCACATTCTGCGGGAGTTAAGGGTCTCTTTAGTCTCCAGTTTTTTTTCGTTCGCTTCCGTCGGTCTAATTTCGTTTTCTTGTAGCTCGTCGCTATTTTTGTTTTTATTGCACTTATACGGAAATTGGCGGCTCGAATTAAACGAAATTATAACCGAAAATGAAATAATAGACGAGAAGAGATCCATAAAGAAATAACCCAAAAGATGCAAACGGAGCCAAAGATTAGCGGGCTTCCCTTTACAAAAAAAAGAAACGACAAGACGGAAGGGCTCAAATCCGGGAGGCGGGGCTTGGAAATTGCTCGAAATCGGAGTTGTACCCGAGAAGTAAATCCGAATCAAAAACCACCGGAGGCTATGGAAGTCTGTCTCTGAAGATGATAATGCTGCGCTTGCCAAGCCAATTATAACTGATTTTAGACACGCTCGCAGAGGTTTTTTGTTTTTGGGCCATCTGCCTTTTACGGGCGATAAAGATTCAGTTTCATCGGTTTCGAGATTTGGGTTTTGGGAGAACAGAGTCTTCGAAAGAGTTGATGGCCTGCGCATCGCTGCTAGAAATCGGTTTTATTGCCCAAGAAGAATTTACGGCCCAACCTGATCTCAAAACAGGACAGCTGCGAACAGCGATTATCGATTAGTTGTGTGTTTGCTTTTGGGCACTACACCGTATGAAATAATCAAATTGAAACCTCTTCGCATTGCCTTTCTTTCTTAAATATTCCTCCAAATGTTTTAGACCATCTGGGACTGCAATAACTCTCTGCTGCTTTGATCATGTTGCCCCCATAAAAGTCTTCTCCACTTCTCGGCTTTTTTCTTCTGTTTTCCCGACCTCGCTGTCACTGTCCCGATATCCAGGGCATGTCATACACGAGGAAACCCACCCGCCCAGAAAGGAGTGGGTGGGTGGTTGGCCAACAATACAAATCACTCCACTCATTGGCCGAGTCCGAGAGCCAACAGTAGCAGCTGCCATCTGGTTGGAAAGTGCCTGGACTTCTCCTTTCTCCTCGGAAAACTAAAGCTCAAGTGGGGTGCCCCATTCCGCCCCCTTCCCGCCGCTCACCTGCCGAAAAAGTTTCGTCGGCGGAAGAAGCAGGGCGAGTGCGAGTGTTCAATATAAATTTTTCAAAGTTATTTGTACCAGGTGGGCCTTTCTTTATTGATTTATGGGGGCCACTTCGAAGTGCTTAGAAGGAGCAGTCGTTGGAACTTCAGGGTCGTCGTCGAGGGGCGGCAAAAGGGGGGAATGCGGGGAATGGGGGGATGGTTAAACCGTAAATGACAAAAGTCTCGAAGGAAGCCGCACATCCGCTGCAGCTTGCATCTAATAACCGGAGCGAACTGGCGATTGTAATGCGATCGTGGAAACGGGTTTACGCCTTGTACACTGTGGTCAACGGAAAACCACAGAATGTAATTCATTCATATTGCAAATACGAAGGCAATATTTTTTACCTCATTTCGGGACAATCTTGGCTTTCAGGAGTGAACTGCGATTGGTGAATATATAATGCGAGTATATTTGTGCTTCTTTTAGCTCCAGTCTGTCTGTATCCTTTTTGGACTCGTATAGATAGTTATTATTGTGTTTTGCCCACCAGGTAACCCTTTTTTTTCTCACTCTGGCCCGGCAACTTGATCTCGGGCGTCGTTTTAGCACCTGTTCCCCGATTCCAGTTGCAAGTTGCAACTATAAATATCACAACAGATGCTTGGGTTGTGGCATTAAAGGATGCAGTTGGAAGCTGGACGCTGGACGATGGATGCTGGATAAGTGCAGCTGCATCTTGGGGCCAGTGGCGGCCGGCGAGTCTGCAAAAGGGGGTCGAGTCGGGAAGGCAGCTGCAGAAAGGAAGCCCGATGGCCGGGGAAGCTGCTGCTGCTGCTGCTGCTGCTGCTGCTGCTGCTGCTGCTAACTGCAGACTGCTGGCAACTCGCAACTGCCGATTGCCGACTGCCGACTGCCGACTGACTGACAAAACAGGCAAGCAACCATCTCCCCATGCAGAGCAGTCCACAAGTATCGATTGGATTGAATTGAAATGGAATGGAATGGAGTGGAGTGGATTGGAGGGCCGGGGGTCGAGTCGAGATTTATGTGTGATAAGCGTCGCCTGAAAATAATTACTGTATCTCTCTTGCCGGAGCTGCGAAAATTGAAAACTGGAGCGGAAAGCGTTCGCAGCGGAAATGTTTTTCTTGCCATCGCAGTTTTCAGTTTGCCGGTGATTGGCGGCGTTGGGTTAAGAGAGCGGAGCGAGGGGCTTAAGTCCCAGATTGCGGCAACGAAATCGGGGAAGTTATAAGATAACTTCCAACCTGCTTCTTGCCGATGCTTCGGGTTCAGTCTCAAAAAGTTATAAGTGTTTTACAGAAGGTATGGGGATATAGAGGATATTGAATTCTATATGCATATCGACAACGATTGTGCACAACTCGAATTTGACCAATTTCCGAGTCAACTTGTGTCTCCCCGAAAACACGAAAAGCCAACCTAAAACCGATACCACAAAAATCAAGCTCATGTGTCCCAAAAGAAAGCCTTGTGCGTTGTAAAATAAGTGAATATGTGCACAGCACAGCACATCCTTTTAGCATTCTGTTTGCTTGAGTAAGCTGTCCCAGCAGCCTCAAAGTTGTTCAAAACAAACCGAAAACTCAACTTTAACTGTCAGTTAAAGTGTCGACTGTACTTGAGGACGTCTCCATCTGTCTCTATCGCACCTAGTCCCGTCTCCCTCTCCCTTCCACGCGCCACACACACACACACATGAATGCGCCTTGGGGACCGGTTAACCCTTTACCGGCAAAAAAGATGGGAAAGAAAGCTCGCCCAACAGGAGAGCTACTTAAAGGACTTTTGCTGACAAAATGGAAAAGGCAACGAGCGGAAGGGAAAGGAGACCGGGATCGGAATCGGAATTGGAATCGGAATCGGGGAGAACCGGAAGGGGCATAAAGGATATTGGCCGAGGTCCAGGGTTCAGCAAAGATTAGGACAATTAAAAAGGGGAATGCTTAACAATTAAAATCAATTTGTGCGTATGCCTGTGTGGGTTCCCCTTTTTCCCCATTTTCCACTTCTCTCTCGCCCTCTTCTGTTGACAATTTGTTTGCTCGAACAAATCAAGTAAAAGGCAACGGCTAAGTGGCAAAAGAGAAAGCGGAGGGAAAGTCAAAGTCAAAGGATGATGACTGCCCGGGATTCAATTGACCCTCTTCTGGCCATCCTTCCTGGCCATCCTCCATCCACCATCCACCATCCACCATCTCTGATTACGAGACAAATGTGTGTCCTGGGGCAGTAACTGGAGCACCAGGATCCGGATCCGAGTCCCTTCCCACATCCATCCCAGTGTCAATAAAAAGGCAAAAGGCCAAAAAATAAACTTAAATCGCCTATTAATGGGCCGCACACAAGAAGTTTTCGACCGGAGTCAGCACAGCTCAACAGAACAGTAAACGGAGGCCAAAAGGGTCATCACTCAGCCCCAAAAGGAGCTACTGATAATTATCAAAAAGGACAGCAGCCCAAGGAATAGAAACACGAAAAGAACTTCAAGGACTTACCAGAATTGATAGTCCAATATAATCAAACAGTCTGCTGTTTGATTCAAACGTGATCCACCAGCAAGTATTGATTGACAATCACAGCCACTGATAAAGGGGTAGTTCTGTCAACACTCTCGTTTTTAGTTGAACAGAGCATGGCCACTCTGGCAGCGATCGACCAGTGTTGCCTAGCATTGATTGATGCTCAAGTCGACAAGACTGTTTTCAACCAACCCCATAGATCAGATCAATAAACCCGAAACGAAACTTAAAGCCAGCTCAGATTTCATAACACTAATCGAATCAAGCCGAGACCTCCGATTTGCCTCAATATACGTATAATAACCAAGTGCAGCTCACCCAGAAGAACGAGTAAAGTTATTCATCAATTCTCCAAGCTCCGCGCGGATAAAACCGGACGAAGGGGCTGAAAAACTTGTTAGCCGTGTATAATTAAAGCATCTGGGTTCGATCGGACTCTCATTAGCATAATTCTAACATAATTCCCGACATGGCCAGGCATAAAATTATGAAAAGAACTCTCGGCAGCCGAAACTCCAAATGAAATCGTAGGAAAGAGATATACACACTGGCGTGTATAAAGGAGATGTGCTTCGGGAATGGAGCACAGCGAATGAAAGTTGCTTGGCCACATCGAAGCAGAATTTCAATCAGTAAATTGAACACCTGAACTTAACTGATTTCGTGGTCGCTTTTTGTTTCGTTGTTGTTTTTTATGCTCTTTTGTGTGTGTGGTTTGGCTTTATTATTTCGATTTTTCGACCAGCTGGAAAGGGGAGAAGCTGCGAAGAAGCAAAACAAGTCGAACTCAAGCAGCAGGAAATTAAGCCAGGCCGAGAAAGACACTGCTGCAACAATGTCAAGCCGAGCCGAGGGGAGCCAGCTGCTTCGACTTGGGCTTAGTCGGGGTTTCGGTTTGGTATTGGTTCGGCTTTGGTTTAGGTTAGGGTTTGGTCTGGGTTTTTGATTTTCGGTATTGGGTATTGGGTTCCCCGGCGACCACAGCCACAGCAGCTTCCCCACTTTACGTTTAGCATTTTTTTCAAATTCATGTTAATGGTTTTGTATTACAAGCGATCGGCGCAGCACAACCAGTCGGGCGGGCGGCCAGTCGAGATTTGTATAACTTTAAGCCTTATTAACATATTTTATGCTCCATCCGAGCTCCGTTCCAAGTCCAAGTTCGCCCACACACCGACATTTTTCATTTCATTTCATTTCCAAGCATCTCGTTTTATTTCTCTCCGTTTTTGTGTGGGCCGCCACTTTGACATAGATCGATTCAATCGGAGCCCCCAAATAAAACAGAAACCCACCAGAGAAGCCATGAGTTTGGCGAAGAGTGAAAAATGATTTCGAAAGCAACACTTGACCAGACAGCATTTGAATAGACGCCGATGGTCAACCGAGATTGTTTTGGACCACCAGTGGTATTGGGCAGGGGGGTTCTTCAGCCACTCTCGCCTAGTTTTTCAATTCCCCTTTTAGTGGGGTGTTTTAATTGATCTCGATCCCTCCGATTGGAATAGAAGTTCACTTACTATATAACCTCTCTTCTGCCCCGTGAAAAGACACAGCCAGAAATGTTGTTTTAGATCCAATTTACCGCGTTGACCAAGCTTCTTAGTGAACAACATTCCACGACTCATTGAAATGCCCACTGCAAGCCGAGTTCCCATCGGCGATGTTTTCATTTCAAATTATCATCCATCTACAACCACATCCACATCGATGGTCGCCTGACCAAGAAAATAAAATTCGTGAGCCCCACCTGACAGCTGTCACTGTTTCGGGTACCTGTGCCTCTGCCTCTGCCTGTCCCCGAAAACCCAACTGAGCCCAAATACAGAAAATAAACAATCTCCGCCGGCTACCTCATCTCGGACCCAATACCAATCCCAATACCAATCCCAATCCCAAGCTCGTTCCTTTGTTCGGCCGTCAGTATCCCCCATTTCCTTCTCCCCGTGCAGCTAATTGAGTTATATCCCCGCCACATGACGCTGCAGCCGAAAAGTCAGCGGAAGGCGTCAGTGGGGGAAGCGGAGGGGAGCGGAGGGGAGAGGAGGGTAAACCTATTTTAAATCGTCATAAAACGGAGAGGGACTCCACACAAATACGAATCGATACAATAAACATTCAGGTTTCTCTCGCGACAGGCGAACGTGTTAGAGAAGAGCGGTAATAATGACCGCGAATGGAAAGGTGCAGAGCTAAAGATGCACATACAGATGCAGATACAGATACAGATACAGATACAGATGCAGATACAGATACAGATGCAGGTAGATCAGAGGTACTGGGACGCTCGACCCACTTGGCGCTGTCAGTTTTTCCTCGCTGGCTGTTCCGTTTGATTGCCTTGCGGTCGCCGGCGCACTGGCACTGGTGGGTGTGTGGGCGGGAGTTCGTTCGGCGGGCACCTTATACGTACGTATATGCCGGCTATATATGCCAGCCAGCTGAGTCGTGGTGCAACCACCACGACAACAAAAGACAAAAGACACGGCGAGAACAACGACAACTTCCACTGGCGACACCTTCGCTCGCCTGCCTCCAACTAAATCCGATTATAACTAATTATTATGGACGCTGAACCCGAACTCGAGGCAGCAAATAGATAAATCGAAGGGGCACAAATGACAAAGACGAACGGGTGGAGGGGGAGGGGGAGGGGTTTTACGACGGGCAGGGTTGCCAGTTGCCAGTTGCCAGTTGCCAGTTGCCAGTTGCCACACCACTTGCGGGCTTGGCGTGGGCCGCTCTTTTCTGACCGTGTCCCACTGCTCGCCGGGTTTCTCGGCTCTACTTTATTATTCTCCTCTTTTGAGGTTGCGACTTGAGTTGGGTTTTGTTATGGACATTGTGTAATGTCAGTTATGTGTCCATATCAAAGTTGTGCAAGCGAGTATACTATACAATACATGCAACTACTAAAAAAGGGGCATCTTTAGCCTCCAAAGGAGATTGATAAAACGTTTGTGGCCCAGTTTGACGTAGGTCCTTGACAGCCAAGCAGATATTTTGCTTAAGTATTCTATTTTGAAAGCAAAAACTAGAGTATTGTCCGCTCACTTTCCCACTCTACTGTCCAGTCGTTAAAGTACTTTTTTCCCCGTCTGACTGACTTACCTTTAACACCTTCTCGATGGGACCACAGCAGAAGTCTCGAGTGTCACTTTCTCGCTTTTTGCTTGTCGTGGAGCCTGGAGATCTGCAAAGAGAACAGTGGAACGTAGCATAAGTAAGATTATTAATTCAATTCTTGTTACTGCGCTGCTCCCTTCGCTGCCCTCTGCTCTGTACGTATTAATTGTTGTTGCTAATGTTTTTGTTGGCCCTAATGCCTCGGCTGTTCGTCTTCATCTTGGCCATAAACACGCACAGCTCGTGTTTGGCAGCGACGGCTTCCGCAGTCATTGCGCCTTTATGGGGCACAAAGAGTTTATTAGACATTAGGTACCCTACCGCAGCCGCAGCAGTCCCCTTTACCACTTTTATCCTGGCCGAAAACTTGCAGGCAATCACGCATATTTCGCATAAAACTCAACAATCGACGTTTTCATGCAACGTTGTGTGCTTGATTTTGGCTTTTGGTCCTGCTCGTTCTCGTTTCTGATTTCCCTATGGCCGACAGTCCTTTTCTGCCTAATTTTCTATCATGATCTTTGCTAATTGTCGTAATGAAAATTTATCGCCGGCAGAGGCTTGGTATTGGCTGGCATCCTCAAACAAATTGCAAATATCTTGGCAATCCGTTGAGCTGCGTAGTCTGTTAACTCTTTGAAGCAATTTAGATTGGCAATATTATATCGGCAGTCACAACATCAACATCAACAACAACTATGAATAATATATTGAGACTATGAGTTCCCAGAATCAGACCACGTTAAGTCATAGATGGTACTCCCAACATTTTCGACTGGCATGCAAAGTCGCCAAGCGAATTGAAAAATTGATGCCTGCATTAGGGGGCTCCCCTGCAACCCTTCTCCCTGTAAAAGTAACCGCAGATACTATACTGGGCCACCCTGGCCCCCCCCCCCTTTCGCCCCCGCACTCTCTGTTCCATATTTAACCCCTTTTTGGCCCCCTCCACGCCTCTTTTAGTTTGATAAACCGACGGACATGATTCATGGAGGGTTCCGTTGGCTATGCTCTCGATTATATCCTTGCATGCCTAAGGTTTTCGGGGGGGGGCAGAGGTCCCCACTCCTTTCCAGGGGCTGCGGTACACAAACATAGACAGAACATGCAATACAATACAAATAAAAACACAAAAATGAAAAAGTACAAAACGTGTGTGGCACGAAAGCCGAATCAGGCGATTGTCTCTGTTTTTTCTGTATATTTTTTAGGAATGGTTGGGTGGGTGGTGCCTCGGGTTGTGGTGGTGGGGTGGTGTCCCGGCTTGAACGCACTTCAGGACGCAGACAGGACAGCTGGAACGGAGCTGAATGTGGCAACAAGCGTTAAGTGGTTGCCTGTTTGTCGCTCGTGTACTTGGAAATGTTTTACAAATTCAGCAGCGTGGATAAAAATGGAAATAATGGGAATATCGAGAAATCCGGCGGGGGAGCTGGCAGGCGGCCGGGCCGGGAGGGGGTCAAAGCCAACCATCCCCGTCAGCTGTTTTTCGTTTTCCGTAGACCAAAGTCAGCTGCTAATCCTCGGCGGGGGTGCCCTGCCGCCAGATGACGATGACTCATAGAGCGTCGGGGTGACTGCGATTCCGTATTTTCGGTGGTTGTCAAAAAAAAAAACCGGTGGAATAAAATCGAAACTTAAACTAGAGTGCCAAGGGGTGGTTGCATAATGAGTCATAGTCCCAGCCGGATGAATTATTTATCAGGAGCTCCAGCTATTCACTGCTCGGCAATCGAAACGCTCGAAATTCGGGCTATAGTGTCCAAAGTTTTCAATTCCGCTCCCCATTAAATAAGTGGCTTTAAGCTCTCGTCTCACTGAGTATTCTAATTGTAGCAACTTGGCGTGTTCCCTACTGCGTTCCCCCAGATCCCGACATCGGTTCGCTCCCATTCCTTGACCAGCCTGCTAGCCTGCTATCTTTGCCCGGCACTTTCATCTCGTAGACCACAAGGTTTTCACATGCTAGCCGCCCTGGAAGCAGAACCAAAGTTTCGGGCTTATCTAAATGCCATTTTATTCCGGCTGCTTCTTGGCTTGTTCTTGTTTATCTTGCAGATACATCTGCGAGGATGGGAACGAAGCGTTCCGTTCTGCGGTCAGAAGTTGTCAGTTGATAAAAATGCCCGGGCAGAGTCAACGATAGCCCGAAATCCACTTTGGCTAAATGTAAATATTAAATTTGCGCATAAAAATAATGCGGCGAAGGGCGGCAGGGGGATAGGGGATAGAGATAGCTGGGCCAGCAACTAAAGTGAATTTACAAAGGAAAAGGAGAGCCATAAAAAGCTGACTGCGACAGGACTATGAAGTGCCGGCAGTGGAGGCTAAGGTCCTGGACTCGAATCCTCAATTGACGCGCCACGTCCTCGAAGGCAAAGAGATACATACGTATATATCCAGCTACGGGTTCGGTTCGGTTCGGCAGGAAGGCGGGAAGGCGGAGGGAGACCGTGCCGGAGGACTCCATAATAATTTTATGCGCTTCCAAAAAACTTCCGTTCAGTCACTGCGTTGTGTTTCCGCCCAGAAGTCGGATGTCGGAGGAGACATCGCACATGGTTTCTTCCCCTTCAACCGAGGTGGCAGCGTGAGTCGCGCACGAGGGTCCAAGTACTCCGTTATTTTGAATCAAAATAATTAATAAGTCGTTGCAAGATGATTATACGTGTTTTTTTAGTTTTAGTTTTTTCTAAAACATTTAAGATGTCGGCACGCAGACCCATTTAGATATTTTCACGTTGCTCGCCAAATCGCTATAGAAATTTCGTAAGTTTCCAAGCACTTCTTTTTTTTGCGTAAGCAAAAGCTTTCCTTTTATGGTTCCTATTCGCCAGCTGCCTTGCCTGATATTTCCCCTTTCGCGGGATGGTGGTTCAGGGGGCTTGGGTGAGTTTTTAGGTGGTTCTCTGAATGAATGAGCGCCGGCGAGCGAGCGGGTGAATGAATGAATGAATGAATGTTCAACTGTCACTCCGTCAGGCGGGCCAAGCGGAGTCAGGCCAAGAAAAGGAAACCCGCACCACCCATACGTCGCGAGTGGGAGTAGGGTGGTGCGAGGGTGGGTCGGGGTTAGTGGATGAGTGGGGCGACAACGCGTCAACATTGTTGGGAAAAACGCGGGGGCCAAACGAGTAATGACATATTCAAGCGCAGCGCGAACTTGACGACGCCCCAAAGGAGTGAAGATGTTCTTCACCAAGAAGACGCCTCGCTGGGAGGGAAGCGGGTTGGGGGGAAGGCGGGGGAAATGTGCGCAAGAAGGGTTGCCAGACATTTGACAAAGCTGGCGACAAGGACGTACACTTGTAATAACACGAAAAGGATATTGTAAAACATTTTCATAAGTTCTCTCAATTTCTGAGCGCTTTTTTCTTCCAGCTCGCGACGCGTTCAATTGCTGATGAAAATGGTCCTCGGAGGATGGAGCAAATCTGAGGGTTCTGCGGCGACTCAAAGGAAGTGCGCCAGATTACGTTAATTAGTGCTGAGATAATCTAATACGTGTGAACCTAATGAGGTTTTGAATGATTTCCCCTCTTCAAGTGGTATGGCCAAAGCTGTAAACTGCTTCTAGTGTTCATAGTATGCAAAATTAAAAGAAGGCCACTCTGCTTACTAATTGGGCTTAAAATGAAATAAAATTGAATAAAAATTTTAATTAGTTGGTTTTTTGAGCCATATGGCAACAATGGCAGACTCGCCTTTCCATAGAAACTATGGTTTGACAATAAGAACGTTATGGCAATTAAAGTCTTGTGAACGGTCTTTGGGTAGTCTTTACCCTCAAATCACCCTCTATCATTTTTAGACTAATTTGATGTTTGTCCACATTCGAGATACGAGTTTTCTTGGATTTTTTCTCTTGGGCTGCCTGCCAACCACCGAAAAAGTCAAGGGAAGGGAAGGGAATCACACATGGCCGTCCGTTCTCCATTTACACCACCCCCTCGATCCCTAAAAGTGGGATTTCCACCAGTCCCCTTGAACTTTTTCCACTCCCCTTCTGCCTCTTCAAGGCGATGGCACACTTCAATTTCTGTGCCTTCCACTCTGGAGCCAACTTTTCCCATCAATGACTATTAATTGGCATTCTCGATGGCTGGAAAGGCGGTATCCATGGGCCGGGGTGATTCAACCCCCAAGACCCCCCTCCCACCTCCCACAGCCCACCGCCCAGCGTGCTTCGCTTGCATTAAGGCGGCGCCATTAAAGCTCATCAAAAATGCAGTCCAAAGTGGCGCACTTTAAAAATGCCGCCTCTCATAGATTTTCGTTTTCAATTTCCATTTCCCCCTCCCTCGCAAGTAGAGTGCTGTTTTTGGGGTCAGAACCCCCCCTGCGGACCCCACCACCCCCTCCTAATGATGATGGCTTGACAAATATTTATTGCTTAAGCATTTGAGTGCAAATATTTTAATTAGTCTGGCGACAAGCCAACAGATCTGGAGATGGAAATATAGATGAAGATGGGATGGAGATGGAAATGGAAACGGAGCTGGATTCTGGATTGTAGATTCCGGGCTCGTTTCTCAGCGCTGATGAGGCTTAATGAACTGCAAAGCGGCTCTCAATTGCCTTCAATTAACCAAATTAACCAAGGGATAAATTGTTCGCCTTTCAATGCCCTCGCCTTGCCTGGCTTTCTTTCAAACGAGATGAGAAATTAGCTGGCTCCGGCAGATGCAAATCCCAAGAAATTAATTCTTCCCCAATAAGCCAAATTATGTTTTGTATAAAGCTTCTCGGGGGATCTCGCATTTAAAATGCAAATAAAGGCCGACTACCAGCAACTAAAAAGATCATTACACGAAAAACTTTCTTTAACTTACTGCGCGTGGAAGAAGGGGCCAGAAAAGATGATTGAAGCAGTCAAATCAGTGGAAGCGATACGGCAGAAACTGTCAAAAAGGCTGACAGCTCCGCTCTCATGGTGAACCAGGTGGATATGGAGAGGCAGCGAAGGGCGAGGTGAGGTGGTGCCGAACATAATTTGTGGCATGCAAAGAACTAACAAAACGGGCAGGAAAAAAACACAAAATCGCAGGACGAAATTGAAAAGGAAAAATAAGTTTCGACATGCTGACGAGGACGCGTCAAAACGATCCAGCAAATGCGGCCTCGCCAATCGATAGCTCAGCAAAAAATGCAACAAAAACTACAGCAAAAATAAGGAACAACAACTTGCGACATGAGCATGTTGCACTTCCTGCCACGCCCTGCACACACCGCTCCCAAACGCCCATTTTTTCCTCATTCCCCATTTTCCTGTCGATTGTTTCAGATGGTTTTAGCAATTTGCAGTGCCAGCAAATTGGGCCAAATTATAAAATCCAAAAACTTCGCTCACTCTCAAATACACAGAGAAAAACTGTGACAACCACAATATTTACATAACTACAGATTAAGTTCAACTAACTAAATATTTTAGGGGATTTTGTATTTTATTTCCGAATACCTATTTAAATAAAAATTAAAAAAGAGAGTGGAATGCAAGCAACTCAACGTTTTCATTTGCACTTCATCTTTTATCGTTTTTTGAATAAACTAATAAGCGCATAAGTATTTGGCACTGTGTATATACCACATACAGACATAAAGCAAAATAAAGCAGCAGCATAAGTAAAAGGTTAGCTTGCCAAGAAGAAGCTGTCGAAGATTGAAACTTTACTTTCTTTTTTAATGACAAGGGACAGGTGCGTGAGCCTTAAGACATATACTTATGCAGCTGTGTGCGTGTGCGAGAGTGCGTATGTGTATGTATGTGTGCTTAGTTAGTCGATGGATTGGTGAAGCTTCTGGGCAAGCAGCTTCTTCAACTCGCATCTGTATCTTCAACACCGATGCTGCCAGCTACGTTCTCTCAGTTTACAGCTGCAGGCAATGTATTTTTGGTTACACAGGGGAAAAAATTTGAAGGCATAGATTTAATTTACCTAAGCATTTGCAACGACATCGAAAAAGGAAGTTAAAAAGTTATTTAACATAAGATAGAAATAAATAATTCGAGAACGATCATTAGACCCATTTCTTTTTTGCCCGAATAGGTACAGACGCATTACAACAAGTTAAATTTAACGAATGATCAAAAAATATTACTTATTAGAGACAAATAAATATATTAGTTTTAATACAATTCGAGTAATAATTTTTTGAGAATATCAAATAAGACTTATTTTTTCAAATATCTGATAGCGCATAACTTTGTATTTATTCGTCATCTGTTTAAAATATTTTTTAGTTAACAATACAATTTTTCAGTGTGAAATAATATTTTTCTTTGCGCACATTTTATGATTTTAGATTTACTCAAATGCTTAAGAAACCCTAATCGTTCGCTTGTTTGTTCCTTTTTGCCTCTAACACATTTTTGTTAAATTTAATCATAAATCATGCAAAGTTTAGAAGGAAAAAATCGAATCAGTTAAGCAGAGCACTTTTTCAAAGATGATCTTGTGTGGAATGGTAAAAAGAAGAAGTTAATTAGGCGGCCAAGGTATATTATCGAATAGGTTTTTGAGTGCTGTGGTAATGATTTTTATAAATCCATCTGCATAGGAAAAGCGAAAGAAGTTTCAGTTTCAAGAAAATATATCTATAAGGTTTATGATTATGGTGAAACCTTTTTTCAAAAAACAACAGAATTATAATAAAGCACCGATGAAAATGCAATTTCATCTTTGGTACAAATCAGAAAACCGAAGTAATCACCAAAACTTGTAAACAGAATGTCAAAGTGTCCGAAGCGAGACCTTTGGAAGGCCAAAAGAGGCGGTTGCACTGCCAACAGTATTTTATAACAAATTCAAGCGAAAAGGTCAAAGTGAGGGAGTAGTTGCTGCAGTTGGCACACGGAGTACAGCGTAAGCCAAAGCATAGGGGTTCGCTCCATATGTAACCTGTTTACTTTTTTGACTCACCTTTTTCGTACTGGGATCCTTAGTCCTATATATTGTTTTCGACAGATACTGTACAACCACAGGCACTAATCCATAATCGTTGAGGGAAAATTCTAGCACATATGGCTTAGTTTGGGCCTTGTTTTTATTCCTTTAGCCGGCTTTAATACATTTTCAGCACTCACTTTTCCACTGGTAATCCACACCAAAACACAGTTTTTGGGCTTTCGATTTCACCAAAAAAAAAAAAAAACTTCAAACTTCTTCAACTAAGATTCAGTTAGGCCAATTTTGCACTGGATCTGCTGTCTGCTGTTATCTCGGGCGAGTTCGAGTTTTCGTCTTCGGGTCTCGAGCGTTGAGTTCAGGTTTTCGGAGTGTCCGCCGCTGCGAAACGTACGGGACGAGCGAACAGAACGGAGTGCGGCCTCGGTTCGAAATACGTGCTTCCCTGCCTGGCCAAGGGCTCCACGGCTCCCGGCCTCGAACAAAACAAAGCGACGCAACGTGTTCGAGGCGGTTGCGAGCGGGTTGCGAGCGGCTTTCAGCGGCCAGCAGCGCGCAACAGTGCCAAGTCGGCTTGGGTTTGGGGGTTCGATGCAACCGCTGTTAGCGGACCAGCGATCGGTTCAGCTCCTCCACGTTGATATATGGTTTTCGTGCAATTTTTTAAAACTTCTTGTTCAGAGAAAGAAAATGTGTTTAACAGAAATATATTGTTTTAGGGCTCCCATTTCGCTTCTTTATAAAACGGTGAAACATTTCTAATGATCCAACTTCTTTGTCCTACAGTATATTATTTATATCGATGCTGATCCAGAAGTAATATATCTTCGGTATATCGGTTCGCAGATGTTACGACCCTTTGTTAGGGTATAAGATGTAGACTGCCTTTGCTGTGGCAACAATTTCGGTGATATCTCTTGGCCAAGTTCCCCTTCTGGCCAGGCCAGACCATCTACCTCAATTGCTCTCCGATTTGTTGTTAGCAGCGCCACCTTCCACAATAAGTGTGGACCACCAACTGTTGCCGAGTATAAAGGCATTTTTTGAATTGAACCTTTTAAAAGCTGCAGATTAAGACGAGGTCGCAAAATTGGCTGCCGAGAGGTCAATGCTGTCGGGGCGGCAGATGTTTTCTACCTCTCCTGAATCTTCGCACCCACGACTCCTCGGGTTGTGATGCCAATCGGAGGTCTTTCTGCGGACTCTGGCTGGCCAAAGAAGCTGCGAGGTACGACATATGGTCCAACTCAGCCTTTGGAGAGCCGTTTGGCCAAAGCTATACGCTTTTCATGCGCACTGAACCGGAATGGCAACCAGCTGATACAAAAAAATTTGCAAAAAATTAAGCAAAGCAAAAATTAAAAAAAAAAAAATAATAATAATAATAATAAACAACAATGACATCCGCTAAACAAACAGCTGAACTTAAGCTTTTGTAGGTGTCACTCTTTCCAAGCTTTTCCATACAAGTTTAGTGATATTGGCGATCAAGATGGAACGCTATATATATTGGTTTTGGAAATGGAGATATGGGAAGACCAAAATAAACAACTGTCGGGGGGAAATTTATGGCACGATTGCTGCGAACGTAATTTAAACTACGCGTGTGAGGGAGGAATCGCCTGAAAATCCGAGGGAGACTTGCCTGATGAAGTGGCGGCTCTTCTCCAACTTTTCGTCTCTCTCTCCGGTCCCGTCTTCGCGCCTCTTTCTTTGATTTTCATTTTCTTTGGCGAGGTTTTCAATCCGAGGGGAGATTTTCCAGCAACTCTGATTTTCTTTGGTTCACCAAGTAATTGTCATGTAATTTATGGCTGCCGTATGGGAATATCAACGCATTGCGCTCTAAATTTACCCAAAAACGAGAGATAAAGAGAACGAAGGAATGGTCTGGGTATTTCCTCTACTTGACTTTGACTCTGTGCACAGTCGAAAAATGTGATAAACACACTTACAAGCCATAACAAAAAGCATTTTTCAATACAAAAGATCTCGGCGGGATCAACAAAAATTCCACGGGCAAAAGGTTTGCTTGAAACTCTACCCAAACTATTAAAATCAAAATTCCACACACATTTAAAAACAATAGTAATAATATCCTTATTAGTTGGTATGCATTTTTTCTTGTCCTTCCCCATTTGAAGAGCTAAAAAACAAAAAGCCGAAACAAATTTTGTGAAGTGCCCTTAAAGGGCAGACTCAATTTCCCTATCATCAAATCGATTCGAATGCGATAACATCCGCCCTGTTTTTTTGCTTTCAAACTGACTGTTTCGTTGGGAAAAGCTTGTGCTAAACAATTTCCATGGCAACTACATTTGCAGACATCCGCTGCCATCCCCATTTGGATTTTCCATCATTGTTGCCAGGCTGCTAAATATAAGCACTCAGACGTGTAAGTTACAAGCCCCGTGTCCCGTGTCCCGAGTCCCGAGTCCCGTGTCCCGTAACCCCCTCTCCAGTTTCATCTCCATGCGACTTTGCATCTCCCGGACAGCTGTACTTTGGCACGCTTCTTCGCTCCCGATTCTCCGGATTGCGATTCAAGGGCAGAAAGACACCGCCAATCTCCAGAAGCCTCGGGTCCGTCGTCCTTCCCCCGGGAGTCTCGCCATCTCCACGAACTATTTTTGAACGTCCGGCCTTTCTTTTTTTGCATTGCGCCGTGTTCCCCTGGAAATGCCGTGTTTTGTGCCTTCTTTTTAGGTCGAACACCCTGGAAAGTCAGGGCATAATCGACCAATCGACCCACGGACCACCCTTAACGCTTCCATCAATTAAATCATTCGCATCAGTTATCAAGGGAACCTGGCAGAGCTGTATGTATCACTTCAAGTTGATTTTTATTGGGGGAAAACTATACATCGAACGTTTTAACGAAACTGTTTACTTTTGAGGACGGCTCAACGATCGAGTTTCCTGCATCTAATCCCCATCTATATACCCTGCAATCCCTCCCCAGTGCAGAGGCCAATGCCAGCCAGCGTCTCTTTTTATGTGTGTTTACTGTGAAATTTATTTTTAATTTCAACGACGCGACCTGAACCCTCCTCTTCCTAGTTTTATTCTCTCTTTTTGCCCGCCTGTAAAAAGAAGCCATGGAAAGGGAAAACATTTAAACAGGATGCAGCATTTTCAGGCGGGCTCCAGGGCGGGGGGGCTGTAGCCGGGGGGAGGGGTTGAAAGTGTCCCACCCAAGTCATGCTGAAATTGCTTAAAAATTGCCAGACAGTGCAAATATGTTCCCACCGAAGGGGAAGCGAGCGGTGGGGCTCAAAGGGGATGCTGACTCAAAGTCCCCCGATTACCCCGTCCCTGAAGTTGACAGCAGCGGCAGCAACAAATAGTTTTCAGCCCTCCAAAAAACGAGCAAAAATAATGTGAAATAAAAATATTACAAAATGCAAAGCGAAAAGGATCAAGGCCTTCTGCTTCGCAGCCCCCTGACAATCCCCACCCATGGCTATGGCTATGGCTGTCAGTCTGGGGCGCATTAAAATGCAGAATGAGGAGCATTTCATTTGCCGCCGTCGCCTGGCGAAATTCAAAATCAGCAAATTACGTGCTGGGCCAGAATGTAACTAACACTTTGCTAGTCATCCCCCACCGCTCGATTTTTCCGCCCCTCCAACCATTTCCCCCATTTCCCATTTCCCATTCTGCAACCCCCTCGCGCCTAAGACGACATGTAATTATCGTTCAAAGAGATATTTCTCAGGGGGCGACAAAAAAATAAAGTTACTCTGAATGGGGTCCAAAAGTAAATAAGGCAAAGGTTAAGCAGTCGCAGTGAGTGGCAAAGTCCCAGCGAAAATGTATATCTAAGTTATTGTCAAATTTCAAAATGTAAAAACAGACAAGGAATAACTTCCATTTATAATCTAAATAATTTGATCAATTATATATCATATATATTATATTATGAATTTTTTATATTTGAAATTATTTTTTTTTTTAACATAAACAAAAAGGTTTTCGGTTCACATATCAAGATTGATTCTTAAGATTTTTTAATCAAGTATGGTTTTAAAGCTTAATACTTTTCTTCGAGTAATGGAGTCCCTTTACTTTCGAGCCTGTAACTCAATAAGTATTTCTTACCAACCAGACGAAATCCCACCCCTCGGACCAGTTAATTGGGAAATTGTCTTAATAAGGCCCGGTGAAAAGCGACGTCTTCGATTTCTGGGGGTCATTGGCAACAGCTGTTGGTGGAAGTGGCCGACCGGCCTTGCCCCGGCCACCCCCACAATACCCCCACAATTGTGTACTCCCTGAAGTCTTAGAGTTACCATCGCGAAAATTGGGGGAGAAAACTGGCTGTGGGGGGTTTCTTACCGTCCATTGGCCTCGCGTACAAATGGGTTTTCATTTTTCCCAAGTTCATTCAAATTTCCACCGTCTTTCCATCTGCCCGAGCCTGTAAAGCAACTCGATGCCTATTACTTTTGCCGTCTAAATCGTTTGCTCGAAAAAAACCCAAGTCGTTCATACCCTTAAAGGCCATGGCATTAAAAAAAAAAAATTGTGCGTCTTAAAAAAATGATAATAAATAATTTTGTATTAAGCTTCGTGAAATAATTAAGAGTAATTGGAGTTCGTTCAAGGGATACACTTATTAGCTGTGCAAAAATCACACAACTTCCATGGTAACCTCCGTGGCAAAAAGAGTACAAAAAGAGTTGGCACATAAGTGGAAAAAATACGGCTTTGGGTGTTGGGAGCGACAGGCGGCTGAAGGTGAATGGCACAGCGGTAATTAGTTTAAAAGCAGCTGCCTACAAATGCGATTGCGACTCGATGATTCGTGACTGCACTGAAAAACTGCCAAGGCGGATCTTACTTCCTTTGCAAATCTTCCTTTTTTCCTTTTTAACAATGTAAATATGATGGGACAAACCCTTTGAGTACCTATTTAACGTACCCAGTCTATGTCTACCCCCATAGAAAAATTAGTTTTTGGTTCGAACATTTTGTAGTGCTTTTATTCTTAGTTTTCCCAGTGTACCTGCGAGGCTCGACCGTCTTTGGAGGATTCCACCGGTATATAGCACGTTTGGAAGCCAAATCGAGGGGTGTGGGCCTAGCGAATTTTAGTGAAAAGGGTGCACTTGACCGGCTGCCGTTCGCTTGACAAAAGTGAAACGTAAGTAATTAAAATTGCCAGCGTTTTAGCCCCACTTCATTTGTAACTCGAAGCTTAGCATCTGTTGCCAGCTTGTCTGATTCCTCTCGCAGTTTGGATTTTCCATTCACTTTCGGATATATCGTTGATCGTTTTGATGAATTTTAACTTAGTAATACATTTTCTACTGTTAAGGGGAAGGAAATACAAAAACAATAGGCGCATCATTGGCCTTAAGCTTTAAGAAAATATTTGAAAAGCCTGAGTTAAACTTTACATTTCAATTACAACA